GCAGGGCTCCCAGCCTTGGTTCTGGCCTAGGGTGGCTATAGAGTGTGGTGAGTAGCCAGACAGAATTGGTCATCAGGGCTGGGGGCTTGGCTAGAATGGCAGAGAGCTCGACTAGAACTGGGTTCCATTGGGGTTTCCTCCCTTGGTACCTGGGCCAGCCTGGGCCAGTTGCTTAACCTTCCTGAGTCTCACCAGGGAAACAGGAGCTAAGGTCACCTCCCTCATTGGAAAGCACTGGATCTCAGGCTCGCTCTCAATCTGGCCTTTGATAAATGCTAGTTTTCACCTGAGGGGTGAACAGGGCACCAGAAGTTCTACCTGTTCAACGATTTTTTGAATTCTCTCTTCTGGGAGGTCCCGTCCTCATCACTCAGGCATGAACCCTCATGTTCAAGATACCCCAGACCTCCTTCACCCCTTCTGCTCTCACACCCACAATCCCCTTTGCACTCCACAATGCAGAGAAATTCTGGCCCCTGTTGAAGGGCATTTTTCTGGCCATGCTTAGCTTTTCATATCTCCAAGTGCTGTTGATCTGCTTGACCACACCTTCCCATTGAAAGAGGCTTTCAGATCATGTCCCTCCCAAAGTTCAGGTTGATGTGGATCCTGGAGTAGGTAGCTCATAGGTACCCTGTCTGCCACTGAGCTTGGGGCCCCAGGCCCTCCCTACCACCTCTAGTCTACTTGGAGCCAGGGAATGGACAGAATGACCCTGGGGGTCTCTCTCCTCCTGGAGGTTCTGCTTTCCACATAGCACAGGGCAGAACAATGACTGATGCTATGATGGACTTGGATGGGTATAGCCCACCAGTGATGGTGGTAAAGTAAGGCATTGGCTGTTGGGAGGAAGGAGACAGGTCAGTTAGTGCCAGCCAGGGCTGCCACTGCCAAAGGGGAAGTCCATATCCATGTCACTCTCAGCCCAGTCTGAAATCATGCTTGTGAGTAGCATGTTTGCCAGAACGAATGCCTTGCATCTTTACTTGGCTTGTTCAATAGGAAAACTTGCTAGTGTTCCCCAAAGCAGTGGCTTTGATCATCATGAAAGGAAATTTGGCTGGACACAAAAGTCTTGGGGTGAAGGGGAAGGCCATATAATTTGCTCACATTGAAGGGACCATTTTAAAAGCTGAAAGCTCCTTTCAACAGTGTGCTAAATTACATGAATGCTTTTAAAGTTCTATGGAAGTCAGAGGATTAGTCCCAAGACTTCCTGGGAGCACATGGGACACCTCTTATCCTGTCCCAAACAAATGAAATCTCCAGCCTTCCCTGAGAAACCACTTACATAGGTTGGCTGTGGGAGTGCCATGGGTGGGATTCCAGGGTTCTGTGAGAAGAGATGGGGGAATTCAATGTTTGTGTGTGCCTGCACATCCACACACGTGCACACACAGGCACCTGCACATTGTAGAGTGGACACTTCAATATGAAACTGAGGTTGTGAATTTTCAACCCCTGGACTCTCCTGTTCACCTTCATGCCATGTCAGCTTTCCTTGAACTACCTACCTGCTATGTCCCCTGAGTCTCAGACTTTCACAGATAGCATCGCTGTCTCTATACCCACCCCTCCTGCCTGATCTACACTGGCAAGAGAAGAGGGGTCAAGCCTGTGGTCAGTAGTGATATCTCAGGAGCTTGTCCTTTGGATGCAGGGCTAATAACCCGGGGCTCAGGCCAGGGTTCTCCACCATAGGGTACAAAAGGACCAGACTCCCTGCTGATTCTGGTGAGTGTTCCAGAATTTCTGTTGTACCAAGGAGAATTCTAACTACACATTCTTAGCAGAGGGCCCAGCCCCAACTGTCCCCATCCTCCTAACCATTTTGGTCCCAACTCTGAGACTCCAGGGAATTCCTTTTTTTTTTTTTTTTTTTTTTTTTTTGCTGAAGTGGGAGCCTGGAAGGCTGGGAGGTTACCAGAAATTTTAGACCTACAGGGAAGCTTTTCCAGGGGTGTTGTGCATGATAGTTTGAGCCTGGAAGAAATGAGCTTAGTAAACTCTCATTAGGATGGGGACCTCAACCAGCCACCAGAGACATCACTTGATATGCAACCTTGAGGAAATGACTTCAGCTATTGCCACAAACATTGCTGGCCAGACTCCCTCCCCACCCCCCACATCTAGGGGTGGGTGGAGGTGCTTCCTTGGCTCAAGGGGATTAGAGAGGGGCAAATTTCCAGAGAAGGAGGCTGTGCTACCTCCTCTATCCAATTCCTCCTCCTTCTAAAATCATCCTCCTTGTCATCTCACCTCCTAGTGAGACCTTCCCACCTTGTCCCAAGCATGGGAGCGTTCCTCTTCCACTGTTCTTTCTTCTCAGGGAAGCCTGTGGACATAGCCTCACTTAGGGGCAGGAGAGGTGAATGCGGGGCCTCCATGCTCTGAGGCTGCCCACATGAGAGAGGCTTGAGCAAGATCATTAAGATCAGCCAACCCCACCCCAGCCCCGCCCACCACCATCACCCAGGCCAGGCAGATGGTCCGGGCTCTGCCCTCGGTGCCAACCCTCCCTATGGCAGAGGCCAGATGCCCGACCCTGCCTTCTATTAAACCCACAAGAAGAACCAAAATGAAGAGCTTCTGAGAAGAGAGCTAGAGACATGCCTGCAGGCTGAAAGGATGAAAAAATTAAATGATGGTTATCACTGGGGCCACTTGGGGAAGAGAGGTGACTGCCCTACTCCAGGTGAGCTACTGTGGTCAGAAATGCCTTCCGGACGCAATCACCTCCTTCTTGCTTCCCCACAACCATTATTCCTGAGCCTGCAGCATGAAGATTCTCACATGCACGTGCACAGGGGTGTCAGGATTGGGGGAGAGTGTCCCCCTGGCTTCCTGAGGGGACAGGTTTGACGCAGACCATACCACTACCCTGAGCCCTCACAGACAAGAACCCTGCTTCTGGTGCCCCATTCACCCCTCAGGTGAACACTAGCATTTACAGAGGCCTCACTGAGAGCCAAGGCCTGAGACTCAGCGCTTTCCAATGAGGAAGGCGACCTTAACTCCTGTTTCCCTGCTGAGGCCATGACACTCAGGAAGGTTAAGCAACTGGCCCAGGCTGGCCCAGGTACCAAGTGAGAATATGTGGCAGGAGGCAGAATCCTGTCTGTGTCATCATGAGCCACAGGAAGTCTGGATAGACAGAGGTTCCTCCCTCAACCCCACTGTTTGATTAGCCACTGAAGGGCTTGCCTTGCTGTCCCTGGTTCCTGTGACTACTGTTTCCCCAGAGGCAGGAGTTAATAACTGCTTTTTACACATGTGCAAAAGAACTCACAAAAGCAGGTAACTTGCCTGAGGTCCTGCCCCTAATCTGTGCCAAGAACTAGACACCATTCACTTATTCATTTGTTCATTCAGCCATCACTTATCAGCCACTTCATTGAGTCCATTTTGTGCAGGAAGAATCCCCACGTGTTGATGGTGCAGCCACAGAGCAGACAGACAAGGTCCTGCCCCATGGAGTTTGCAATCTAGGGAGGGAAGAAAGCAGGAGATTAATGCATGAACAGACTATGCAGATAGGGCGGGTGCTGTGCAGGGAAGGACAGGTGTTGTGCAGAAAGCAAGACAACAGGGAAATGGAAGGACCCCTGGGAGGCAGCAACTGATGCAGTTTGCGGAGGTGGGCGTGGCCTGTTCTGAGTAGCCACGCCAGGGGAACAGGATGGAGAGTGAGGGCTAGGGAGATATGGGGTGTAGACAGAGGTCTGCTCACCCCAAACATGTCCTCAGATCCTGACTACGCAGTCAAATCACCAGAGAGCTCAAAAAAAAAAAAAAAAAAAACTATGCTGGACCCTGCCCCAGGCCAACAAGACAATCCACATGAGCATATATAATTAAAATTACACCAGATGCAGTAGTTCATGTCTGTGATCCCTGATACTTGGGGGCTGAAGATAGGAGAATCCTTGTTCAAAGCCAGACAAGAGTGTGGGGGAGAGGGGAGAAACAGTGAGACCCCATCTCAAAGAATAAATTGGGCATAGTGGTATATGTCAGTAATCTGAGCTACACAAGAGGTGCCCTATAGGAGGATACTGGTCCCAGGCTGGCTGCTGGCAAAAATGCAAGTCCCTATCTGAAAAATAAGTAAATCAAAAAGGGCTGGAATTGTGGTTCAAGTGTTAGAGCCCCTGCCTAGCAAGCTCAAGGCCCTGAGTTCAAACCCCAGTACCACCAAAAAATAAAAATATACCCCAAGAGATTATGCTCTGCATCAGGGTTTAGCATGACTGGTCTAGAGCTTGGTAGACCATGAAAGCTACTTGGATTTTAATTCATGGAGAAGCCATTGAGCTTCAGACAGGGAACAACAACTTCACTGTACAGACAGCTGTGTGACACTGGGTAAGTGATTGTCTGCTCTGTGCCTCAGTTTCCTCATCTCCAAAGTGAAGCCAATAACCACACAGTTGTCACAAAGCTGTAGGAATGGGCTGAGACCGTATCCATGGCATCCTTAGGACAGTCCCCAGCACACAGTATGTGCGATTTGAACGTTAGCCATTGCCAGTGCACAATGGCATCTTCACATTTGTGCCCCTCCTGCCCCATGCAGAAAGTGTTGGGCGTAAAGACTAGCTAGGCTGCTGCTACTGGAGTCCAGGTGCGCAGCACTGAGGACATCGAGGGCCTGAGCCAGGGTTCCTGTCCGAGTGTCTCAGGGTCCCACTGGAGACTGAGGCTGAGGGTGTGGCGGGGCCTGAGGAAGCTCCACTGGGAGGGGGCAGGAGTTGGGGGAGCAGGTGAGGCTTGTGGAGGGGTTGGATCCTGAAGGGTGATGGCGGTTACGCCATGGGGAGGATGTGCAGGGTGGGAACAGCATTCCAGGGGCAGGAACAGCATATGCTGAGGTAGCAGGGAAGGTAAGCACCTGTACTTAGTGGTCATTAGTGTGGCTGGATCGCAGAGGGGCGGCGTGTTCCTGTTTAGGACTAAAGGCTTTCCAAGCGTAGTGTGAATGCCATGGCCTGTCTCCCCAGGTGTGGATCATGTGTGAAGGCCACTGCTTCAGGGTGTCTGTGGACGGACAACACCTGTGTGAATACTTCACCACCTGCAGAACCTGCCAGCCATCAACTGCCTAGAAGTAGCAGGTGACATCCAGCTGACCCACTTGCAGTCCTAGACAGGTGCCCTGGCCCTGGGGATGAGGGCTGGGGTATGCTGTCTGTGACTCCTTGTCACATCCCCTTGCCCTAAATCCTGTCTGAGGAAATCGTCATAGCCAGGTGCTGGGTACAGGTGAAGCTCCTGTTTGCTCCCCTCATTGCATGTGGCTCTCAGCCACATTCCTGACCTCCACATAACTCCACTCGGGTCCCAAGCCACCAGCCATCCTCTCCAGGGGTGAGGAGACTCCTCAGCATCTCCCCTTTCTCTGACCTTTAACCTCTCTCCTCGCACCCTCTGCCACCTTTCACCCCTCCAGGAAGGCTACCCTGATGACATCCCACTGGCCTCCACCAACTGATCAGAGCTTTCTCAACAGTGGCTCGCCCCTTCCCAGTGTGCTTAAAATTGAGAAATAAAAGTGCTTATTGGCTCACGAGTGGGATGACTGACTTATTGGATCTGTCTGGAGACATTTTGGAGACTACGGAATTTTGGGCATGCTGAGGGGTGTGTGAGGAGACAGCACGGGCCCCTTTGGCAGGGGTCTGACATCCACACCTGCTTCCTGTGGTTCCCTCACAAACCCTGTATCAGGTCTCAGGTCAGGCTTTCTGACATAGCAATATTGGTGGCTGGGTGAACCCAGGAAATAGCCCCATGCTTCAGAAATGGGAGAAGGGCCAGGCAGAGCCTGTAATGGCCATGGCAGGCCAGGAGGCCAGATGCCAAGCCAGCTCCTTTGAAGCTTGTGCCTGAGTGGGAGGAGAGAGAGTGAGAAGCTGCCTGGGAAGGTATCCTTCAGGGGGGCTCCCCAGTGTGTCAAGGATTCAGGTGTGTAGGGAGGGGAGTGGCTGTGCCTGGGGACCTGCCAGCACTGGACAACATAAAGAAGCCTTGCTGTGTGTCCATGAAGTGCCCACACACTTGCTAACTCTTTCAGGAACCCAGCGCCTTGGAACCAGAGTAGGGCTTTGGAGCCAAGTGTGGTCCTCAGACTACCACTGCCCCCAGCACCATCCACCCCCTCGCCCCTGGGAGTTGGTGATTAATTCTCAATCTTGGACCCCTTCCCAGACCTACTAAACCAGAGCCCACATTTCAACATGACTCCAGGTGGCTCGTGTGCACAGGAGTGTGCAAGACACCCTGGTCCAAACGACTGCTCAGGTGCATTGTTGTGGTTGAGGCTCAGAGCTTTTCTGGGTGATAAAGTTAACGAGCCTCATTTTCTTGTCCTTCCCTCCATCTGGGTAGCTCTGTCGAGGGGCCAATGGAGCAGGGTTTTGCCAGTTGGCCATTCGCCCATGCCACAGGTCAGAGAAGCACCAAGTCCATCTGCTGTCCCTGGGAGCCATTCTACAGAGGGAGCCATGGGCTTGCTGATATGCAGCTTTGTGGGGATCTTTGTCTAGGCTATAGCACCCTCTGACACACCCCCAACACTGGACGTAACTTGGGGTGCTTTTCTTATGAAACACGCACACACAGGCAAAGTGGTTAAGTTAAAATGCATTTCATATAAATATTTCCATCAAAAAATCATACAGGGAAGGCCCAAGTGGCCACTGGGAGCAGACAGAGGTGTCTTAAATACAAAAGCATAAATAACTATACACAGAACAGCTAAATACAGACTGATGTGGGAGCGACGAACAGCCTGGGGAGAAGTGATTTGCTTCTATCTCCTTAGGGCCGTGGACCACAGCTCAACAGTGTCTCCATTGTTATATTTCATTCCAGCAGCTTCAACTTCTCCATCGCTGGTCTGCCCCGCTGTCCTGTCCTTTCTCACTTGGTAGGAATAGACAGCACCAAAGATATCTTCATGATAGCGCCTCTGGCTCTGTAAGGAGAAACCGGCCAAGACGTCAGCTCTCTGGGCCCAGCCATTTCTCATCTACCAAGTCCAGGCTGGGATGAGCTACCAGGGCTGCCCCCAACTTCCCTGGGCACTCGTGAGTCCTTTGCCCTCCCAACTGTTATGCTGAGATTACGTCTGTCTTTGGTTTATCTTGTAATCCCTGGCTACCTCCCAAAGCTTTATGGATGGACGGTAATCCCATTTCCTGCCTAGCGCTCATCCCACAAGGTGCTCCAGCAAATGTGAGCTTTAAGATAAGTACACTTGGGAAACGCTGGGCACCCTTCTTTCCCCCTAGTCTTGAAGGGTCACGCTACACAGCAGCCTGCTAAAAGCTCTGAGAAGTCCTACAGTGAAGCAACAACTTGGCCTTTGTTTAACTGAGCATGTTCCAAACAGTCTGACACTGGAACTTTTTTTTCTTCAGACAAGGTATATAGTCCAGTCTGGCCCCAAACTCACAATCCACCTGCCTCAGCCTCCCAAGTGCTGGGATTGCAGGTATGTGTCACCACGCCCAGCTACCTGGGAATCTATTTGATGACAAATCTGCCAATACATGGAACATGTTTTGGGCAACACTGTTGTTTGCTGTTCATCCCACATGTCAGACTCACCCCCTCTCAAGCCTCTGTACCTTCTGCTTCCTGCAGAACATTCCAGAACTGTCTCTTTCAATATCAATATCCACAGAGCTTCCTCCTTCCCTCCTTCAGGTATTTTCTCAAATGTTGGCTCCCAGTGACACCTTCTCTGACCACCATATTGAAAATGACACCCCCCAGCTCTTCCTCAGCTGCTTCCCTGCTAAATTCTTCTCTGAAGCGCTGCACATTTTATGTGTTTGTTTTTTTGTGGTACTGGGGCTTGAACTCAGGGCCTATACCTTGAGACACTCCACCAGTCTTTGTGTGTGTGTGTGTGTGTGTGTGTGTGTGTCTTGCAAACTCTCTGCCCAAGCTGGCTTCGAACCTCGATCCTCCTGATCTCTGCCTCCTGAGTAGCTAAGATTAGAGGTGTGAGCAACCAGCACCTGGCAATGTATTTGATTTTATTTGGCAACCCCACAAGAACTCGAGCTGCATCCAGGCAGGAAGTCTTTGCCGGTTTTGTTTACTGCTTTATCCCCATCACGCAGTAGGTGCTCCATGAATATAAGGAGGAGATGCATGAGTCTTACGGAGAGGCTTTGAAACCAGTGAGAGACAGAATGCTGGCTTCTCAGGGCCCCTCTCCTCTGCAAATGGAGGACAGTGGAGCCTCCCTCGAAAAGCCAATGAAGGGCAGAAGGAAATACCGGGTGAAAATTCCCAGCAGAGCCAGGTGCTGGTGGCTCAAGCCTGTAATCCTAGCTACTTGGGAGACTGAGATCAGGAGGATGACCGAGTAGTGTGCAAGACCCCCATCTCCAAAATAACCAGAGCAAAATGGACTGGAGAGTGCCTGCTTTACAAGTGCAAAGCCCTGAGTTCAAACACCAATCACACCAAAAAAAAAGTTCTTGCAGTCACCTGCCCCCTGCTCCCCTATTTTAAAGTGGCAGCCCGAGTGTAAATAAGTGCATTTCGTGTGAGGCTGGCAGGGGACAGCCTTCCTGTGTCTGGTATTCATGGCCCTATCCTGCTACACAGATCCTTCCTGAAAGGGAGGGGTGCAGGGGAGGTCAAGGAGGCCGCTGATCCACAGAAAAGTGGAGCCTGTTGACCTGACTTCTCAAAGCTTGCTGGCAGCCTGACCATAAGGGACTGTCCATCAGCCCATCCAGTCATCCAGCCATCTCTAGCATCCTTTTTGGATCCAGGAGTGTTCTGGGATGCCCTTAGTTCTGCTCCCCTGCTCTTGGCTCCCTTGGCCTGCACCCCATCCCCATCCCAGCTCTCATACCTTGAGCTGGAAGAAATAGTCCTCAACCTGCTCCTCATTCAAGTTCAGGCTGTCAGCCACCAACTGCTTCAGGGTGTGGACCACGTCCCGGGCCATGCGCACATCCCCACAAACATAGAGGTGGCCTGGCTCCTCATGGAGCACGCGGAGCACCTCACCTGCCAGCTGCTGCCGCAGGAGGTCTTGAACGTAGACCTGAAACCAGAGATGTTGAGTCCAGTCCCCAGATGCCAGGAGTGAGGCCAGTTCCCCCACCCAGGAGTCTGAGGCCTGCCTGTCCACACCCCAGAAAATGGGGCCTCTCAGTGTGGATATCCCTCTATCCCAGCTGTGATTCAGGGAAGGGGTAACAGGCTTCTGTCTACACAGAAGGTCCAGGAGACAACCAGGGACTCTACCCTTATTCCACACATTTCCAGTGGCCCCAACCCTGGGTCCGGGGGGAGCCCACAAGGACAAGCTCAGGAGCACTGAGTTGAGAGTCCATTTCTACAGGAACTTGGGGAGAAGTACCCCCGGGGCACCAGAGCCCATCTGAAGGCTGTGATGGGAGTGATGGGAGTAGTGGACACCTTCATGCCTTGCTGGACTTCAGAATGAAGCGAGTCTGGACCAACCTCTCCACAGACAGTCATATATCCCAAGAGGCTGTTGGGGACCCTCAGCAGGCTCTCTATGTAACCCTGAGTTACTCCTAAACCTACTGATTTGTTCTTTACTCCAGGAATAGAGGACATTAGCTCTTCATAGATCACCCTCGTGATTGTATAACTGTCTCCCTTTTAGAGTTGAGGAGATGAAGGCTCAGAAAAGTGAGGAGCTTGGGGGAGCCGGGGCAGGCAGCCCTAGTGTGTGCATTCACTCACTGTGCAGTTTACCTTGGGCTTGCCAGGCAGCCGAGAATAGGCTGTGTGCAGCTCATGTAACACGCCCTTCCTGGCCATCTCCAACATCTCCTCCCAGTACAGGTGGTCCTCGTCTGGACAGCGGCACCCGAACACCAGGGTCATGTGGCCCCCCTTGAGCCCTGCAAGACCCAGCAGGCTGCAGTTACCAGGATGGCCACCAGAGGGTGTGCCATGGCCCAAGGCCATGAAATGAATTCTCATTTCATCTCTGCAAGTTATCCAATCTGGTATGATCCTCATTTTTCAGACTAGGGAACTGAGGCATTCGTTATCACTCATCCATTGTCACACAAATGAAAGTGTGGACAAAGGACTCCATCCGGCTCGTCAGAGGTCTCATTACTTCCAGGGAAGTAATACACAGGTCACCTGGTACTCCTTCTCCCCAGGAAGCCTCAAGCTGTACCTTTTTTGTCCTATTTTATTTTCACTTTATGTTTTTCAGTGTGAGACGTGCAAATTAGAACACAATGAAAGCAATTATTAAGACCCTCATTCAGTACAAATATTATGCCAATACATTGCTCCTTTTTATTTTTTATTTATGGGGTACAGTGTGATACTTCAATACACGTGACAGTGCGTAGTGATTAAGTGAGGGCAATTAGCACCTGCCCTCTTCATCACGAGCTGCACGTACCTTTGTGTTGGGAGTCATGGAGTCGCTGCTGCCAGAAACTGCGGAAGGGCGCGATGCCTGTGCCAGGCCCGATGAGGATGCAAGGTTGGGAGGGGTCTTTGGGAAGCTGGAAGCCTTTGGCACTGAAGGGGGACAGAGGAGGGAAGCCACAGTCCTCAGAGCCCCTGGGTTGGACGTTCATACAGAACGCGGACTGGGGGCAGGACGCGAGGCGAGGTGGGGGCGTGGGAGTGGAGCAGGATAGGCTCAAAGCTGACTCCCAGTCCCGCTGGACAGTTTCATGTGCCCTGTCCAGACACACATCTCCCCACCCTGGGGTCCTTCTGTAAAACGGCCAGCACTCTGGGACCCACCATGGCTGTCATCACCATCCCTGCTAGAGACGTGGCCGCACTTTGCAGCCAGAGGATAAAACAAGGAGACCGCATGTGAGCCCAAACCTTCCTTATAGGCAAGGGGCCCAGAGAGGCCCTAGCCTCAGGCCCTTCCCTCAGAAGCCTCAGAGGCCCGACAGGGGCACGAGCAAGTGCTCACCTTCGCACAAAACAGGGCACTGGGTCCTGGGGCTTCAGGCTGCTGAGCCAAGTGCTGCAGACGCCGTGGTGCAAGGGACCCTGACCATCTGCAAGGACAGCACAGACCTAACCAACGCGCCCCAGGGCTGAGTGCATAGCAGGCTAGCTGAGCTGTCCCTCCCGCACTGAGGCACTTTTTTGGATTGCCCTGCCCAGCCACCTCCACCCCAGCTCTGCCCACAGCAGCACAAAGTGAGCCCTCAGAGATGGCCACTGCTGAGCGCCCTCATGAGGGTGGCCTTGCTGGTAGGAGCCCTGGGTGAGGGGTGGCCTCTTGTGCTCCTCACCTATCTTTCCCAGTGGCCCTTCCTGAGTTTGTGGAAACCCCAGTTTTCTCTGGGTTACACTCCTATTGAGATGGCCCGCCATGTAAAGGAGGCCGCCAACTGACTTGGGAAGTCCTTTAGTTTTGCTTTGCCTGGGTCTGGCTCTCCCAGACATACCTGCCTCTCCTGTCCTGGCCTGGCCTGAGGACTGAGACCCGGTTGTGTGGGTGGGATTTCTCCAGCAGAGCACACACAGGTCTGGCCTGCTGAATTTTTAGAAGCAGTATGATTGCTCTTTGCAGAGGACAGAGGGCAGAGGTGTGGCCAGCTCCCAGCTGTGCCAACCCAAACAATGTCCAGTTATGGGGTCACCCAATGGAAGAGCCAGGGGCAACTGGATGAGACACTGGACCTCTCTCTCAGTGTGTAGTCACCTCACCCCCATCTGCTCCCTCATGGAAACTTACACTTCCCTTCTTACACCTCCATGATCACAATCTCTAGTTATCTCAATGTCTACCTCTCCATTGCCCTCCAGATGCTCTGTGAGGGCAGGGGCTGTGTCTGCTGTGTTTCCACACCCACCATGGCACCCAATGCCACTGTGAGTGAAAAAACAGAGAAGGCAGAACCACCTCTTCTTCAGGCTGACCATCAGGAGGACTAAGAATCATTGCACACCCCCTGAGTGCTGGGTGCTTTCGACATTTAGTCTCTACATTTAGTCAATTGTCCCAACAGTCAAAGGAGAGCAGAGTGGTCAAGAATTTGAACTCAGCAGTTAAACTACCTGGGTTTGAATTTCAGCTCTGTTTTACTAACAGCGTGACTCTGATCTATTGGCTTAACCTCTCTGTGCCTCTTTTTCCTCCCATAGATGTACAAGGAACCTATCTCACTGAGGGTAAGGGGAAAGCTTAGCGCTTGCTTCCTAGCGATCTCTCCTACACAGCTGCCTGAATTATTCACAACTCTGGGTGGTGGGTGTCACCAGCCCTGTTTAACTGACGAGAAGACTGAAGCTCAGAGATATTGAACAGCTGCCCAGGAAGAAGCAAAGCCAGACTGCTCCAGAGCCACTGACCCTGTCTTACCTCGGGTGCGGTAGGTGACCACGGCCACTGTAAGGTGGACCTCTGTGGGTGTGTGGTCCTGGGAGGAACTGATGGAGTAGTAGCGGGGCTTCAGAATGGGGAGCTGGGACAGCAGAAAGGCAGCAGGGACCCGCAGTGATGGGAACTCCTCCAGCACCTCCAGGAACGTGGGGCTGTTGGTGAACTTCCACTTGTTGTACTCTGAGGGCTGAAAGTCAAGGGCAGTGTGAGGACTCAGGGTGCCTGCCCCGCATCCAGGGAATGGGGTTGAAGAAAGACTGTCACAACCTAGTATTTATTCATTCACTCAACAAACACAACCAGACAGCCGCTGTCCAGGGTGCTGAGGCTACCAAGCTGGAAGGAAAATGGAAGAACTCAGACCAATCAGTAGCACTTACCAGCTGTGTGCTTAGAACCCCACCGTGGTAACTCACAGGAAGAACTCAACTCTTTAGTGTCATCTAACTTGGGGCAAAACTTGGAACTATTCAGATTTGGGTTGAAATCTGGCTGAACACCCTTCCTAGCCATGGAATTTTATACTAATTATTTAACTCTTGTGAAGTGAGTAGTGTTGCTTTCCACATGGAGATGTCATGAGAATTAAATGAGAAGATTGTGTGCCAAGATAGTACAGTACCACCACACAAAAATGGTAGTCAGATGATTGGGATGGAGATAGTCAGCGAGAATGGCAAGGGTGTTAATGGTTCCCAGTGTCTTTTGCAAACATGGGCTCAGAAAGTTGCAAGTGAGTTAATGCATTCTCTAACTTATTAATTCAGCTATCCATCTATCATTACCTTTGAAATCAGCGCCTACATCTTGAGCCACTCCACCAGCCCTTTTTCATAATGGGTTATTTTCAAGACAGGGTCTTGCAAACTATTTGCCAGGGCTGGCTTTGAACTGTGATCCTCCTGATCTCTGCCTCCTGAGTAGCCAAGATTACAGGCATGAGCCTCCAGCACCTGGCCTCCAATACTTCCTAAATTCTCAGTTTGTTTCAGGTTTGGGAAGACAAGAAGAAATTGCAGCTCCCTTTCTAATTTCCAAGTAAGTGTACGTTAGCTATTTTCTGCTGACACTCAGAAATTTATTTCACTCAACACAACTGTGCCCTAGAGATGGACAGCAGATAAACCCTGGCTTCCCCTCAGCCTTTGGTGTGCCCCACTTTGGACACCGGGATGGATTCACTCAGAGGTTAACAACCAGCTCTGACCGCCAGTTCTGTCCTCTCTGGAAACTGCTCCTCCCTCCCTACACCAGCCCCTCACCTCACCTGACCCAGGGTCTCCAGCCTCTGTCTCTCAGCCTCTTCTGTGGCTAGCTGGGCCAGCTTTTGGAGCTGCAGCTGGGTTGGAGGGGTGGTGATGTCCAGGAAGTAGGTGAGGGCCTGGCTGAGTGAGCAGGGAGGCAGCCTCTTGTCTCTGACCCAGTAGCTGCCTGAATAGGGAAGGAAGGTGTCAGGATGGGACAAAGGCCCCATTTGGACTTCTCACAGGATAGTGAGGCCTCTGGGCAGACCCCTTTATCCTCCACCTGCAGGAGGAAGTTCAGGCTCCAGGACAAAGGTGGTGCCCAGAGTCAGAGATGCCAGGGAAGCTGGCCAAAAGCCCTCAAATGGGCACCAATTTGACATAATCCTGAAAAGACTAACCATGTCCCAATCTGGCTCAGACCTATACTTTAGCAAGACACCCACAAAGTGACCTACAGACTCACAATGACTAAACCTACTGAAGACTGATATGCACCCCCTCTGTTCATTTAGAGAGAAAAGCCATGACTACATTCACCTAGGACACTATACTGTGAAGTGCTGGGTGAGCAGATCAGTCAAAGTGAGGTGGCAAGTCCCAAAGAGTCCCAGGAGGAAGTGTGCAGGGCAGGCACGGCACAGAGCCTGGGAACAGCATATCTGGGTTCAAATTCTGGCTCCCCACTCCCAGCTGAGTGGCTGAACCCTGTGGCCTTGAGCTCCTTCCCTGAGAAATGAGTGTGGTAACTATACCCATTTCACCAGGATCACATGGGCACTGAAAGAAATCATGCATGGGAAACAGCTGGTACCGTGCCTGGTACTGCTCAGTAACTATTACGATGTCATTTTCTGTGGGCCCAGTCTGCTTCCCTACAGTCACAAGGACATCTCTGGTTCCTCATCCTCAAGTTTCAGGCTCTCTCACTTTCTCCTAGATGGAGGGGTGAGAGGACAACAAACAGTGCCAGGCTTTGCTTCTCTGGCCTCTACTTTCCTATCCTGACCTCTGTGTTTAGGGACACACTATCATCATCGCTGAGGAACAAAGGCCAGGGAACTATTCTCGTGGAGAAGCTGGCACAGGCAGGTACAGCCCAGCCCTGAGTGGGATGGGGAGTGGCTGGGGATGCTGGGTCATCGCTGTCCTGCTTTTCAATGGAGGGCTCACCACTCTTGTCCAGGGCCTCCAGGCACACGGTTTGGTGGGGCTTGGGGCTATCTACTACTCGCTCCAAGATGCCTTGGACCAAGGCTGGCTGGTTGCTTGGAAAAACCCCGAGGTGCTCTCCAGGCAGGTAGCTCAGGCCTGGGCTGTCCTTGCAGGAGAGTTCTACCAGGAGGGTAGTACGGCTATGGAAAGAAAAAAAGAGCCCCTCTGAGCTCCCTGATAGGCAGGCCAGCCTTCCCAGGAAAAGTGCCCTCCTGCGCCTTCCTTCTCCCCAGACTGAGCCTGAGGCAAGCTATCCCCTTAGGTGGGGGATGTGCCTACAGCCTCCCCTTGAGGAAAAGGTGGAACACACCCCTCCCTGCAGCCCTCCAAGCCCCAAGGGCTTGGCCTGCTTTGTCCCCAGCACAAATCCTGTTCTTATCAGAAGAAAGGCCACTTTCTTGACAAATAGGGGTTGGGGAGGAGGAAGGACAGAACAGAATATCAAACCCACAGATCATCCCAGGGAATGAACCTGGCTGGGACATTCCCTGCCCCACATGCTCCATGGGAGCTCTGAACACTCAAATGGTTTGAGTCTCTCCTGGCCTCCTCTCTTAGTGAGAGGTCGATGAGGAATGATACAAATGAAGCAGGTGCCTAGTTCCCACACCAGGCCACTGGCTAGTCAGCTGACACCTGACACAAAGGTACAGGTGGCCAAGAGTCTGACTGGAGGCATCATGACCACTTTTCTCCTTCACAGACTGGCTTGCTGTGATCCTTCATTCATTCAGGCAAGATCGTGTAACATTATCCAGGAAGCCCAGCCCTCTGCCTTACCTGGACTTGGGACTCTGCAGATTCTGCTGGGATTTGAGCCTCAGGGTGAACACATGCTTGGAGTGCACACTGCCAAGGGCTGGAGACAAGGACAGAGACAGGATGTGGCAAGCAAGCTCTTGCTTGTCGATGGGGAGCCCCCACATGTCTGAGTCGACCACTCTGCACACTGCCCTTAGGGGTCCCTCTGTGATGTCCCTTTCCTCCCCTCCCCTCCCCTCCTCTCTCCTTCTCTCCCCTTCCCTCCCCTTCCCTTCCCTTCTCTCTCTCTCTCTTTCTAGGTACTGGGGTTTAAACTCACAGCCTTGTGCTGCTAGGCAGGTGCTCTACACTTGGGCCATGCCCCCAGCCCTTTTTGCTTTGGTTGTTTTTCAGGTAGGGTCTCATGCTTTTGCCTGGGCCTGCCTAGACCACAGTCCTTCTAATTAGACTTCCTGTGTAGCAGGTATGCACGTACCACCATGCCTGGCTTGTTGGTTGAGATGGTGGGTCTCACTAACTTTTTGCCTAGAGTAGCCTCAAACCACAATCCTTGTTAGCTCTGCCTCCTGAGTAGCTGGGATGACAGGTGTGAGCCACTGTGTCTGGCCTCTCCCAGTTTATTGTTTTCAGTAGTAGGGTTTGAACTCAGAGCCTACACGTTGAGCCACTCCACCAGCCCTCTTTTTTGTGTTGGGTTTTTTGAGATACGGTCTCATGAACTATTGGCTTGGGCTGACTTTGAACTGCAATGCTCCTGATCTCTGCCTTCCAAGTAGCTAAGATTATAAGCGTGAGCCACCAGCACCCAGCCCTCTCTCACTGTTTCTGAACCACCAATAAAGGCCTTGTGTTTGACTGCTGGGTGTCAGGAAATTCAATTCAAACACCAAAATATGAGAAGTTCCAGGACAACTCAGGGGCTTGGGATCCACAGGTGCACAGAGGTGAAGTTGAGATGTCCTAAGCATGCAGCGCCTGTAGGACTTCTACACACAGGGTACCAGGCACAGTATCCAAGGGAACAGAGCTGGTCGCCAACGACCATCTAGAGCTGCCTCTGGGAAGCCTTCTGCATAACACCTTGCTGCCTTTGGAAGGCTGGGCTCAACTCTCAACTTGGCCGTGTGCTACAACTCACTTCACCTCCTTGAATTCAATTTGAATCTTTTTCGAAGGCTGGATGGCGGGGCTCAGTTGTGTGGGCAAAGAGCCTGACACACACTTGGCCCTCCACGGACACTGGCTCCCTCCTCTCCCCAGCTCGCTCCCAGGACCTCCTTCCGACACAGCCTTCTTCAGAGCTAGAGTCTCATAACCAAAAGCTTTAGATGCATCAAGACAGGTGCCTGGTGGCCCCAACAGAACTGCCTTCATCCAGAGGGACCTGGTAGTCTTCTTGGCCCTGGGCCCAGAGATCCCAACCCAGATAGGAAGGGCAAACAGGCCCTGTGTGATGCCGGGATGCGGGTACCTTTGTGGAGTTCAAACGACTGTGAGTTCTGTACGAGCCTGTAGTTCTGCGCCTCCCAGGTCGCGCTAGAGGTGTAGAGCTTAGGGATCTGAATGTGCTGTTTGCCTCGGACATCAAACGTCTCACAGGCTGCCTGGAGACAGAGCAGACTGGTGTTAGTGACCATCCTCATCACCACTGGCCTGCTATTTGTGGGCCCTCACCCTGGGCCAAACACTGAGCTTCACAGACAGTCTAAGCGCACTCATCTGATGAGTATCTATCTAGAGGACTCGAAGAGGTGCCGGACTTGGAGCACAGCAGTTACTGCTGTTATTGTGAACATTAATGCTGACACCATCTTATTTATCCTCTTGCCCACAGGAGATCTGATGTCTTCCTTTTCCTAATAGGAATCAGATGGAGGAGGCCTCGGAATGGAGCTGTAGCTCCTTGTCCCAGTGATAAGTTCCCTTGATCAGTGTGGTCAAGCCCCAGACAATAAAGACCTCCAGAGTTACTGAGCAGATCTGAAGCATGGTGTGGTCCCTGTCCTCAGTTCTCCAGGGCTGGGGGACTGCAACAAGAAATGACCTATGCTATCAGTGGGAAAAAGATGGTAAGCAAAATTGGCTCAGCCACCTTCTCCCACCCACAGGAGCATGTGCAGAGTGGGCTATTCTGGGTCAACAGCCTTGACCTCAGACTCGTAGCCCTAGCCCACACCTGGAACTGTACTTGAGGACAGAGCAGACGTCATACCACCTAGGATGTCCAGCACAGAGGTCCTGGGCATGAAAGCACTGCATCCTATACGTGCTGCAGGGTAGCTATAGCTAGGGACTAACCTTGAAGGTTTGCACGGCCCAACTGCGGAAGGCGTCCTCCTGCCCACTGAGCTCGTCCCCTTCCCCTGTTGGGGTGAGCTGAGAGGCCCCCAGCTGGGACAACTTCTGGTCGATGTCATGAGCAAAGGCACAGAATTGTGGGTACATGCTGGAGCCAAGGCCAAACACAGCGTATCTGTGGGAAGAAGACATGCACTTGGAGACCCACTCAGTATGCAAGCAGCACCTACAACCAGCAGCATGTGGGGCCTGCCCCACACCAACATTTTCCCACACCAACTGGGCCACACCCCCTTCTGGACCTCCTTGGTCCTGGCCTTCACCACCAACTCACATAACCAACATACACTTGGCCTGCAGACCTGTGAGAGGGACTTGGTTTCCATTGCTTGGCCCCTAACTTGCTGGGAGAACAAACCTCAAACCAGGGCTGTCTCTGTGCCTAGACATCTCCAAAAAGGCCCCCTAGGCACATCTTGTTCCATGCCTTGATTCCAGACTCTGGGCCCTGGAGGCAGCGTTTAGCAGAGTGGGAGGGGCCTCACCTGAAGGTGTTGGTGAGCTCTTTCAGCGTGAAGAGGGATTTCTTCAGTGTCTGGGAGGAGAAACCACAGAGTTCTCAGGCCAGGATTCATTCCCCCTGTGGCCCATTTAAACACTAGCCACATTTAGCAGAAGGTTCTAGGATATGTGTAGGGCTCAGCTGATAAGCTCAGCTTGTCTCTCACCCCACCCCCTAGCAATGGGGACCCAGAATCCCCACTTAGCCCTGCCCCACTGCATCCAGCTCTAACAGAGTCCCCGAAAGGGACATGAACCTGTCTTCTTGTTTGGAATCTGGCAAGAACAACAATTGGGCCCCTATTCTCTAAAAACAACCTCAGTTTTCCAGGAAACTCAGATAATTTTAGGTGGTATGTGACCCAGCCAAAATAGTTTTAAACTATATCATGAAGCCTGCAAAGTGTCTCACATCTGCATTTCTAGCTACTTGGGAAATGGAGATCTGGAAGATCATAGTTCAAGGCCAGCCTGACTTGAACTCTCAAACAAAAAGTTTGAGACGCCCCATTTTGACCAATAAAAAGCTGGGTGTGGTGGCAAGCATCCGTCATCCCAGCTACATGGGAAGCATAAATAGGAGGACTGTGGCCCAGGCTGGCCCAGGAAAACACAAGACTCTATTAGAAAAATAACTACAGCACAAGGCTCTGAGTTCAAATCATAGTACTGCCAAAAAAAAATCACATTATGGGAAATGACTCCTTTTTTGTGATTTATCTTTTAGTTACTTCCTTTTTGATTACTTTTTTATCCTTCTAAGTACTAGAGAGACAGCCTCAAATTGGTGCTAATAGAGCCTAATGCTCCTCGCAAACTTGCCTATTACTCTTTGTGAAAAAAAAATATAGTGGTCTGGGTTAGGCAGTAGAATCTAGTTAAAATTCAATAACTTCATTTTAATTTTATTGAACTTGCTTTTTGTTGGCTTTCCCTTTGTGAGAACAGTACAAATTTCTTTTAATGTAAATCTATAAATTTAAAAAAAAGTAAGTCATAGGGCAACAGGGGCTTGTCATTCTAGCTACATGGGAGGCTGAGATCAAGAGAATCACGTGTCAAGGCCAGCCCAGGCAAATAGTTCATGAGACCCTATCTCCAAAATAACAAGAGCAAAATGAACTGAAGGGGTGGCTCGAGTGTTAGAATGCCTGTTTTACAAGCATGAAGCCCTGAGTTCAAGCCCCAGTTCCACCCAAAAAGGAAGAGGCAGGCAAATCAATTCATGGAAATATATTAAGTGTGTTATAGGAAAGGTGACACACAAAAGAGCCAGGTCACTTGAGCACTCACTCCTAACCTCCCTTTTTGGGTCATGCTGAATCACCCCCTTCCTTGCTCCTCCCAGCCCTGACTCCACTTGCACCCCCAGTTTTCCAAGACTTTGGCCACCCACCTCGCCATTGCCAGGGGAGTCTCCATTCCCAAACGTGCTGGTCACCACCAGCAGTAGCTGCTCCTCCTCCAGGTTGCTCAGCCTGTACTCATCCATGCAGAGAACCTGGACAACCCCACGGTGGACATCAGCCCTCAGCAAACAGGTGCAGCCCTCCACACGCTCCCCAGACCCCATCCAGCTGACCGGGTACCTTGGGGTTGAAGGCACAGCTGAACAAGGTCCCCAGGTCCTGGGCCAGTGCTTCTGACCTTCCTGTCTCAGTTGCGTAGAGGATTGTGACTCTGACTCGGGACGCCATAATCTTACGTATCAGTATAGAGGAGAAAAGCACAGCTCTGTGGGGACAGATGGCAGACACTGTGTGCTAAGTCAGCTTTCAGAAGAGAAAATAGGCCCAGGAGAATGGGAAGGGGCCAGCATTTAGGGCAGGGCAGTTGAAGAAATAGCAACCTACACTTCTCACCAGCTCTCTACTCTATTGGTGACACTTTTCCTCCTTCACTCAGCCCACTGGAAAGGGGAGAAGAGAGAAGGATGGGACAACAGCATCAGGTAGCCCTCTTTGGTGCCCAGACCTTTGGGGAACCAAATTCCATAAAGAATATTCTCTCTGTGTGTCCTGTCTTCAAGGGCTTCAGGTAGAGGTTGACAGAGCACAGACATCCATGCTAGCTGCTCGCACTTACTTCACCAAGACTTGGAATCGGAGCTCTCTTCTCCCAGGTCTCTGCTTCTTGTCCTGCCAGACATGGGTCTTCCAGGGCTCCACCTGCAGAAACAGAGACGTACAGAGGAGGCAAGGTCCAGCATCCTGACTCAGATCAGGCTAGGGGATGCTGCAGAGGTAGGGGACCCTCTACACCACATGCTGCCAAGAGGGCAGGCAGGCCCACAGCACCCCACCTCACCGAAGGTCCCAAAGAGGGGGCTCAGAGCCACCCCCCCACTTGCATCACTAGCAGACTGTGTAACATATAGTCCAAACCAGGACACCTCTGGGAGGACAAGGAGGTGTCCCACAGGCATAATCTCCATGCCTGTGCTCCAAAGTCAGGGGCGGAACAGGGCAGCCCCTCCCTTACCTGATAGTAGTAGAATGGGGACAGCACGTAATTCAACATCTCCTGGTGAAACACGGGGGTGATGCTCCCAGAAATTGGAGGGACCAGCCAAATCCAGTCGGCCGGGCAGCCGCCACGTAACCGGTACTCATTCTGCATGTGCTTCATGAAGGACTCTGCAGCCGAGTGGTGGTCCATGATGGTCACATTGTGCTTCTAAGGCAGAAGGCCAGAGGGGAGCTCCGTAAGTGCTGGGGGGAGGAGAGTGGCCAGGGGGCTGCAGGGTGCTTCCCAGGGAGCTTCCGCCCAGCATCTCTTCTTGGCCCCCTCTTCATCTCATCTGCTACAATTAATACGCAAGTAGGGGGCACTTCCCCAGCCTCTGCAGGGGCCCAGGGTTGTTGAAAGAACACAGTAAGTTGGGACAAGCAAAGCACCGGAAGTGCTCAATAAACTGAGCTACTGCAATTAATTCCATCTGCAGGCACTGCGTTAAGGCCGTGATGATGGGTGGAAAGACAGACAGCCCTTTCTCTGCAGTAGCTTGTAGTCTAATTAAGGGAAGCTGAAGGAAGTCAGCTGTTTTCACATGGCCTGGTGGGAGGCCAGAGCAAAGGCTACTTGGGCAGGGCAGAAGAAAAGACCTAGTGCTGGACAGAAGCTCAGGGGAGACATGGGGGTTTCAGACACAGCTTCTGAGACAGGGCACATCTGAGAGATGGGTTCTTGCTGGCCAGGGGAAGGACATTCCTCGGGTAGGATGCTGAATGAGCCAAAGCTGGAGGGATGACAGTAACCAGGAGATGTTGGGCCTTTCAAATCTACCACATCTTTTACCATTTTATATACAGATGCTTCTCGACTGACAATAGGGTTCCACCCTGGTAAACCCACACAAGTTGAAAATCTCATGAATCAAAAGTGCATCGACTACGCCTAATTTCCTGAACACCCTTACTTATGAACAGCACACTGCAGGGTGTTTGTTGTTGACCCTCATGATCGCTGGGCTTACTGGGAGCTGTGCCTCGCTGGTGTGGTCCAGCATCATTTAACAGTCCTATGGCATATCATTATCCCAGGAAAGATCAAAATTCAAAATTCCAAGTAGTTTCTGCCGAGTTTGTATTCCTTTCACACTCTTGCAAAGTGAAGATACCCCACTTGAACCATCATAAATTGAGAACACATAGGCACATGTAGGGAAACACAGAGAGCAACTCCCATGTGCCAGACAGTTAGTTGGAAGCTCAGGAGTCAATGACGATGGCTCTGATGACAATCATAAATAATGACAAAGCTAATGCTGGCCAAGTGGTTGCTCTAGGCCAGGCAGTGCAGTTAAAAGTTTTACATGAGCTGTCATTTAATTCTTACAGAAACCTGGTGAGGGAGGTGCTCTTATTATCCTCCTTTTACAGATGAGGAAGCAAGGCTGTGTCTTTTGAAGGTTATCCTGGAAGTAGGGGTCAAGGAAATCCTGGAGACACTTGAGCAGTGGGGGAACATGATCAGCAATGGCCGGCAGACAAAGGAGGCTTTGCAGGCTTTCTGGACACATCCACACCCTGCCAGTGTCAAGGCCAACACATGGAGTCCCTGGAAGTCAGGATGTATGGACCATACCCAGCCCTTCCTGAGCAAGGACAGACCCGGAGGTACTCTTCCTGTTCCGTTTTAGCTCAGAGTGTCCCTACCCCATCAAGCACAGGATGGATCTGCCCTGTGGGGTGACCCAGCCCTGGGGAGTTGTGTAATCATATATATTTAGTTCACCATCCACATTTTTGGCCCAACCTAGTGCCTGGAACATGGTATATGTTCAATAAAACTCTACTCAATGAATTAACAACTTTCTGCCCAGTGGTCTGGTCTCTAGGGCATCTGCCATTTTTGCAGAGATGGTCCCAGATCCTAAATATCTTCACACATCCTGAGTCTCTCTCCACAAAAGAAGGGAGGTAGGGATATGAGTAGAGACAGCATATGGACTGGAAGGCCCAGTCCCACACAGGAAGCAACCTGCTGCGTGTGGGCACAAGAGGTAGACACTGTCTCTCAGCACAGGGGATTGAGAGCAACCACTGCTTGTGAGGACATGGACTGGTGTTCGTCCATCCAGTGTGTATATTTTTAGCATGCCAGACACTCTGCTAGACTAGAAGTACAACAGTAAACACGAGAGTCAAGGTCCCTGCCCACCATGGAACCCTGTGGGGCTGATATCCTCTTGGGGGAAAACAAAACAACAAAGACAGAACTTGACCTCCTATATAATGCCAGAGACTGCATTTTAAAGTATTTTGAATAAAGATTCAGCAGAGTTCAAAGAATAATGGGGAGACACAAGACAGTGTTGCAAGATGTAATTGTTTCATCATCATGGTGGCATGGCTGGAGAGGGCTTCTTGAAGGAGGTGACAATTGAAACCTGCAAGAAGGGAAGGAGCTGGCCATGGATGATTTGTGGGAAGAAGGTTCTAGGCAGAGGGGGAAGTAAGTGCAAAGGCCCTGTGGTGGGAATCCTCTTGGTGAGTTTGAAAGCTCTGCAGGAGCCAAGCACCAATGGCTCATGCCTGTAATCCTAGCTACTCAGGAGGCAGAGATCAGGAGGATCGCAGTTCAAAGCCAGTCCCCAGCAAATAGTTTGTGAGACCCTATCTTGTAAAAAATCCATCATAAAAAAGGGCTGGCAGAGTGGCTCAAGCAGTAAGAATGCCTGCCTAGCAAGTGTGAGCCTCTAAGTTCAAACCCCAGTTCTGCCAAAAAAATAAAAAAACTTGCAGGAATTTCAGCATCACCCTGGAACACTAGATGATAAAAGCCAGACTGGGATGACTGGAGGATGAGGAAGTGCAGCAAGATGGGCCAACAGTTTTGCTCTGAAGAAAAGCAGAAAAATGAGATAGTAGCTAGTGGGAGCCCGAGGACTGGCAGTTATTTGGTTAGTTATTTGGGTATTTTTTGTTGGCGCAGTCTGTTTGCACACTGACTTTAGATAGGAACGATGCAGATAGGGGAGAGGGACATTTTTAGGGGTAAAGTCCTTGAGCAATTCAAAGAGGACAGGAGTCAGTGCTCAGTGCAGGGATTGACATTGACCGGTCTTGGCAGGTAAGGAGTTGCCTGTTGTCAGGCAAACATGAGGGATTATTTATCCCTGTGTCCACGCACCGAGCAAGTGCCTGGCCCAAACTAGGTGTTCAGTACTTGTCTGGTGCAAGTGTGAACGACTGATGCCTCAAGCACCAGACAAGTGGTGGGACCAGGTGACCTTCCCACCAAAATGCCTTCAGGCCCACAAAACACCTGACACACCTGGAAACTGTGCAGCACAGCGACATTGATCTCTGTGACAGCTCGGTCTTTCCAGAGGGAGGCCAGCGTGTGTGTCTCCAGACCCATCCTTCTGCCCACTTCCTACGGAGCAGAGAAACAGGGTGAGGAGGTCTTGGGGACCCACCCATAGGCCACACCTCCAGCTGGCCCAGCTGGGCCACCCTCCTCACCTCTAGGATGTTATAGCGCTGGGTGTCACAGAAGTCCCGGACTCCAATCTCGGTGCCCATGTACCAGCCATTGAAGGGGCACCCCGGGAACTCGAGGCCACCCACTTCGAGCAGCATGTTAGCCACAGCAGGCAGGGCATACCACTTCAGCTCCAGCTCCTGGAACCACTCATACCTGGCAGGGAGGGGGAGGCAGAGCCAGTGCAGCTGAAGCCTTCTCTTTCACCACCAACCCCCACCAAGGAAAAAGAAAAAGCTTCAGAAAAAGAGTCAACCAAGAAAACTCCTTTCTAATTGATCTCTTAGTCATCATACCAGGAGAGGTAAACAGACACCCTAATGAATTTAATTCATTAAATTACAAATGTATTCATTCACTCACTCATTCACACATTAAGAATGTCCTCCGTGTGCAAACCTGACATAACATAAAGGTTAAGCCTCTAGCATCAGAAAGCCAGGGCTGAAGTTCTCCCTCACCACTGACCGGCAGTGACCATGGGACGCTTTTAGTGTCTCTGAACCTCAGTATCCCACCACCAAAACAGGTAATAGCAGCTGGGCACCGAAGGCTCACACCCATAATCCTAGCTACTCAGGAGGCAGAGAGCAGGAGGATCGTGGCTTGAAGTCAGACCAGGGAAACAATTCAAGAGACCCTATCTCAAAAATACCCAGCACAAAAAGGGCTGATGGAGTGGCTCAAGTAGTAGAGCTCCTGCCTAACAAGTGTAAGGTACTGAGTTCAAACCCTAGTGCTGCCAAAAAAAAAAAAAAAAAGACCACATCACAAAAGAGGTAATAGCATCAAACTCATGCAATTATTATAATGCTGTTTGTTTGTATATTCAATTATTCTACAAGTATTCAGGCAGGCATCCTGCTAGGTGCTAGGGACACACTGGTGAATGAGAAAGGCAAGATTTCTATTCTTGAGGAGCTTACAGTCTAGTGTGTAGTCTCTGCACGGTAACAAGGTAAACAAATACATCAATAAGAGAATAAAAAAGATGATGTGTTAGGGTAAGGGTGCCTACCCTAGACTGGGTGGTCAGGAGAGTATTTTCAGAGGGAGACATTACAGGAATTAGCTTTTGTTTAGGAGAAATGAGCCTTGTAAGATTCTGAGGAAAAGGCATGTCTAATAAAGGGACCAGAAAGTGCAAGGACCCTGAGGCAGAACTGTGTTTAGTATATTCAAGGGACAAGGAGAGCCCAGCTGAAAGCTTACTAGATAGTAAGTCTCAATATATGGAGCTATTTTTGCAATTATGAGAAGCGCCAAGATCAGGGACTGAGCCAGTTGAGCTTCCCCTAATCAGAAGAGGGACAACTAAGAGAGTTGGCAGGAGGGCAAAAGAGGCCTGGACTGCTCAGATGAAGAATCACAAGGAAATCTCCAACTCCTGAAGCCCCTTGGGCTCTGGGAGCCTCTGCTTCCCTTCACAAGCCATCAACATGTCCTCAGAAGTCTGAGGCTGAAGAAAAGTATAGAAGCTACAGAAAGCCAGGGTGACAAAGCACGCCTTGCAGGCTGGCCCTCTGGGCATCCCTGCTGCTGACTAGGCTACTGGGGAGGGGGGGAGTACAGGAAGAGGCTTGAGGGTGGGGATCTCCCTGATGCAAGGAGGGGGGCCCCCAGCAACCTCAGCTGCTTACTTGGGATGTTCCATGGGCACTTCGAGCACAAGGTCAGGAGGAATTTCGAAAAGTTCAGGGTCACGGCCGTTAGCCTGCAGGACCAGAGGCAGCACATCAAAGCGGCCATAGCGGGGCTTCCAGCCCAGATCGATGCACAGCTAGGGACAAGACAGGCCCAGTGAGTCTGCGAGCCCAGGTGCCTTGTCTGCTCTGGGCTCTACCCACCACGGGGCTCCTGTCTGAAGGTCCAGGTGGAGGCTGGGTGGGTACCTGGGTGAACTCCAGGTTGGCAGGGTCCCCTCTGATGGTGCCATCAGGCATCTGGTAGCCAGCGTAGCGGATGAGCTGTGTATTCCACACCCGGAAGTCATGCTTCCCATCACTCCGCTGGGGGAACACTGTGATAGCCGACCTTCCCCAGGACAGGGACAGTGCTGGTTACCACCTGGCTCTGGGCGACCCCCAGCCAGCCCCTGCTGTCCCTACTTCCCCTCCCCTTTTCCTACTCTGCAGCCCTCTCTTACCCTCCAGCTTCTACCCTTCCTTCAAGACCAGCAAGGGGACCGCCAGACTAGGAGCTCCCTGTCCACCCCTCAGAGGGGGCACACGGTCCCTCCACAGCCCTGATGCTCGCTGCCCGCTGCCCATGTGTCTCTCCCTGCAGTCAGGTTAGATGGATATTTGTCTAGTGCAGATGGTGGCTCATAGCAGGCCAGGGCCATATCATAGGGTCTTAGTCACCTCTGCATCCTACTCTCCTTCGCCTGTCCCCCATCCCAGCCTGGTCCTGTGTTGAGTCACCATTAGGTGGGCACTTGTTATAAGATAATTATAATATTAGTGAATGACAGAATGGGCTGTCCCATCCTGGAGGGCAGGGGGGTGGATACAGTAACAAGCAGTGATTCTCCTCCTCTAAGGAAACACCACATCTCAGAACCATCTGTTAGAAAACCAAGGTCTCATTCCCTCTAAAAAGTGGGTCCCTAGCCCTGGTCACTGAAGAAGTGACTTATTAATGATGTAACTTCCCCCACAGTTCAAGTCAGAAGGCAACTGAGGAAATGGGCCACTGACAGAGGCCAAGCTCATGGAGGGGAGCCTGCCACTAGATGACCCTAAAAAGTCACATCTTTTTCCTTTTTTTTTTTTCTCTCCCTGGCCTCCCCTAGACTCTCCTGCACTGTTTAGCTAAGACTCTAGAGCAGGGTGAGCCCTGGGAAAGGCGCGCCCACCTGATGCTGCCGCTGTTGGTGGCGTAGTGCAGGTGTCTGCAGATGTGTTCAAACATCTCCTGGGCTGTGGTACAGCTCCGGGCGTCGAAGACCTGCACACAGCCCACCCACACCACACCATTAAGGACTGTGCAGGCAGAGGCTTCAGAGTTGATCAGAAGCCTCTGCACACCAACACCCAGAGAACGCAGAAGGGCACTGTATCCACGGTGCCAACCTCACAACTGCCCTATCCCTCGTTCTCCTGCTGTCCTAGGGGAGCACAGGGAACCCCACTCAGAAAACCTCAGCAAAACCAATATCCCAACAATACCTGATTCATTTTATTTATTTAATTTTTGGTGGCACTGGGGTTTGAGCTCAGGGCTTCGTGCTTGCTAGGCAGGTACTCTGCCACTTGAATCACATGCCAGCTCTTTTTTGCTTTGGTTATTTTTCAAATAGGATCTTGCATTTTTGTTTGGGGACAGCCTCAGACTTTGATCTTTCTACCTATGGCTCCAAATAGCTGGGGTTACAGGCATGAACCACTGAACCTGGCCCTTTCAATGCTTGATTTTAAAGCACTATGAGTCAGACCCCCACAGCACCAACTAGTCTGGTTTCTTTGCCACATGAGTACATTTTACATAGCCCAAGTTGGTTTCCCTGGCTTTCCTTATCAATTTCTCTGTTCAAGTGTTTTAGATATGATTCAACAAATGATCTTCCAACAAAAGGATGACCGAGGGGACCAAAATAAATAAAATGTCCTCTTGGAACCAAGAATTCAAACACTGGAGATAAACAACCTCTCTTGCAGCACCAAGGCCTTGGAAATAACAAAAACAAGACCATTGTTTGGTTTTGTGGTGGCCTTTGCTATCCTAAGTGTATCACAAGAGAGGAGTCAGTTAGGGACTCTGGTGCTGAAGTAGGCCTCTCAACTCTCAGAGGGGGACCCTCTGAGCACCCCTCTGGTGCTGGGAATTTGGGACTTTGGCTTTAATCTGAGGAGCCCTGGGCCCAGCTCGGCTACACTTCTCCAAGCCACCACCTCAGCGCTCAGTGCTCAGCGCTCAGGGCTCAGCACTCAGGACTCAGGGCTCAGGGCCTGCCCACTCCCACGCTCTCTCCCGTGGGGGTCCGAGCAGGCTTACCTGCAGGTTGGACCACTGGATCCTGCCAATGCAGCGGGGGGCGTTGCGCCAGGCGAGCTTGGTGGCAAAGATGAGCTCATCCCCCGTCAGCCGGTAGGTTCCTGTTGTTTCTATCTCCTTTGTGACCGCCTCAACCCTGGCCAGATGTTCCTCTATTTTTGCCCTGAGAGACAGGAAGACATCAGGAAGATCAACAATGAGAGCCTTATATGTGGATTAATTCAATCCACAGAAGCAGGAACTGGAAATTGTACACCATAAGGGCTAGTTGTCCCTCCTGGGAGACTGTGCCCTTCTGGGCAGTATTATGGCTCCTGATCAGCTTACAGAGGCCCCACGCTTAGTGCTCTGTGTTGCCACCTTGAAGTTCTTCATCGTGTTGGAACAAGGAGCCTGCATTTTCAGTTTTACACTGACTCCTGTCCCAAACCGTTTGAAAGCTGTGTTATTTCCAGGTACTTTTTCTGAACAATAACTCCTCCTCCTCCTCCTCAGACACCTGCAAAACTCAGAGGAGCAATGTCCCATCGAGCCATAGAAATGTCCTGCCTCTTTTGGTCAGTTTGTCATGGCTAAGAGAAGATAGGCCAGCCCAATGCAGCACTTCCTGTGAGTCAGGTACTGGGCAAAGTGACCCACAGATGGGGTCTCGCTGAGGCTGGGAGCAAGGTTCTTTTTAATTTTTTTGAAATGAGGTTTTGCTATGTAGCCCAGACTGGTCTCAAACTCAAGCAATCCTCCTCCCTCAGCCTCTCAAGTAGCTGGCACTACAGGTGCACACCACCATGTCTGGTGAAGGAGGTATCTGTGTTTATTTTATAATCAAGAGATTAAGTACCAGGCCCAAGAATGGAAATGTGGTGGCAAAAATGAAAATAAGAACACAGACCTAGGTTGCCAGACCACCAAGTCCAGGCTCTTAACTGCCTACAGGAACCTTCTACCTGCTACCTGAGGCACTGAAAGCCCTCAGGGACCTGGTTAGGCCCAGACATGATCTGGGGTCAAGACTTAGCCTGCAGGACCTGCCCAGAGAAGAGTTGTACCTGGTCATTTAAACAGGCTTCAAAATTTTTCCAAAGCAAAGGACTTACTCAGAAAGGCTTTGAAACGCACACACACACACACACACACACACACACACGCATGCACACATGCACGTGCACACAGACACACAGACACACACACACACACACACAGAGCAACCTGGAGATTTCCAGCAAGCACCAAAGGCTTTCAAAATGGCAACAAACAAAACTATTTAAAGAACGAACTCTAACTAAGGACAGTGGTCATAGAACAAAACGGCCTTTGGGGTATGCACAGTGTCTGGGCAGCTCTTCCTTGATTACACACCGGAGCACAAAGACAAAACACTTGGGGATGTTTATCCTCAAGGATATCCCTGCCATAAGGAACTGCTGGGTGAGATCGCAGTTCCCAAAAAAACCTTCTAGAAACATCCCTCACATTGCACCCCAGCACAAGACAGGAGTGACCACAGTAACATGGACGCCTCCAACATTCACCAGCTGTCAGCACACATGTGAATGCGTGAGAAAGACTGCTTTTTACGTTTACACCAACTTCCGTAGAGTTTTCTGTTTTACTATCCTTGCATAGCTGTGTTCTGAGGCACTAAAAATGCCATGGCGTCTCTTAGCTCTCAAAAAAGCGGCTTCACAATCAGTGAAGAGACCTGAACAAACATTCAGATTCAGCAAGTCACAGTCCACGCGGTGGTTCTTTGGTGTCCTTGTGGGGCCCGCTGCCACTCATCACTCATACCTCAGGACCTCCTGGCAGGCCACTGTATGTACTGGTGACTGTGAGAAATGGGACTTTCCTCTGTGAGAAGCTCATGAGTTTGAACAGCCACCAGACTGCCTTCCAAATATCAGCCCAGGCCCCAGGTACAGAAGGGAGCTAGGATCCCACAGAGCATAGGAGACAAGTGCCCAGTGCCAAGGCTAAAAGCAAGGGCTCCTGGTGCTGACTGCCTTGGCTCAGATCCCAGTCCTGAGATTTCAGGACCTGTTCCCCTCCCTGTAGGATGGGTGTCCATGCCAGTCTCACAGAGTTGTGGTGGCATTAAGTGTCAGCGACTTACACAGGGGCCTGCACATGCTTAGTGTTAAGAAAATAGGTCCTGTGGCTCAGTGAAGCCCAATCAAGGTTCCTCTAGGCTAGGGTCACTGTTCTGAATTACACAATCCTTACAATGTGCTTAAGAGCCAGGTTGTAGAATACCCATTTCACATATGGGGAAGTTGAGGCTCAATGAGGGTAAGTGGATTTCCCAAAGACTCAGCAGTAGTGAGTGGTGGATCCAGGATTTGAACTCAGTTAAACCCCAACCCACATTTTAAAACATGACTATGATGCCTAAACTCTACGTTTGGATTACAACAGGTTACCCTAGGGTCTTTTCTCTTGGAAAATTAGGCTTTTGCCCTGCAACCACCACAGATCTGGGGAGAAAAAGGGTCTAAGGGCAGAGGGTAGAGTTGCTGGAGACTGGAGAGCCCCAGGGAGAACAGGGAGGCAGCAAACGCAAGAAGCAGCCTTACTCTTTGAAGGAGCTGTAATACTGGTTGATAAATTCAATAGCCTGAGGTAGAAGCTCATCCACAGAGGTAGGCTTGTCCCTGGGTCCTCTGGTCAAACTTTTGGGGTTCATGATGGACCCCTGGCAAGATTTTGACTTGCAGGCTAAATCCTGGAAAAAGAGAAAGGCAGGTGATGAGGGTGGGTCATTTGGCTTCCCAGCTGTCTCCCCCCAGGGCTGGATCACTTGGCTGCCTCCCTCCTTTCTGGGTGTTCTAGCTTCCTACACCTCCTGCCCCCTAGGGCACCTCCTCCTTGGGGTTCACCTGGCTTTGTCCCTACACAGATCCCCTCTCTTCTACTGGCTAATTCTAGTGGGTGTGAGCTGGAGTGGTCCTCCCATTCCAGCCAGCACCAACTCCACAGCAATGCTGACAGCATGGTCCCTGGGAGCAGTCCATCTGCCTTATTTAAAGAGGTCGACGTGGCCCCTGTGGGAACACGACTCTCATCATGTCAGCCGAAATGAACCAAAACAGGAGGGCACAAACCCCAAAGTCACCGGACAGCACACGCAACATATAGGAAGGAAGTTCACTCAGTGTTAACTGCGGTGTTTTCCTGAAGGGTGCAGGAAATCATTCTGCCTTCATTCTGGTCTTGAAACTTTCATTCTTTCCCACTTTACAGTCATAGCATGCATCCTAAAGTCAGAATAGGGAGGAGCCTTGGAGGACATTAGTCCGACCACTCATTGGATGCCTGAAGCCCTCTGTTGTCTCCCTTATCAAACAGCACTTGGATCCTTCCAGGGACAGGGAGCTCACTACCTCCTCATTTAGTTGGTCCAGCTTTGGGCAATTCTGTTAGAAAGTTCTCTATGAGGACCAAAAACAGTGACTCACACCTACAATCCCAGGTACTTGGGAAGTAGAGATTGGGAGGATAGTGGTTTGAGGTCAGCTGGGGCAAAAAGTTAGCGCGACCCCATCTCAACCAATAAACTGGACTTAGTGCTGTGCGCCTGTTATCCCAGCTATGCAGGAGGTTGTAGGTAGGAGGATCGTGATCCAGGCCAACCCAGGAAAATACTTGACACTGTGTTTGAAAAAAAAAATAACTAAAGCATAAAAGGACTGTGGATGTAGCTCAAGTGGTAGAGCGCCTGCCTAGCAAGCTTGAGGCCCTGAGTTCAAACCTTTGTACTTCCAAAAAAAAAAGAGAGAGAAAAAGAAAATCTCTTTGTTGGAATCTGTCTAAGAAAAATGTTAAATTTTGTAGTGGTACTAGGGGTTAAACTCAGGATCTCACACTGCCAGGCAAACACTCTACACTTGAGCCACTCCACCAGTCCTGTTTTATGCTGGATTTTTTCAAGATAGGGTCTCTCAAACTATTTGCCAGGGCTGGCTTCAGACCAGCCTCCTAAGTAGCTAGGATTGCAAGAATGAGCCACGGCGCCTGGCATCGCTTAGTTATTTTTGAGATACAGTCTTACTTTATGCCCAGCCTGTCCTGGATCCCTCTATTTGTGCTGATATAGCTAGAATGACAAGGGTTTACCACTGTACTCAGCCATTGCTTGAGTCTCAATCCTCCTAATCACAACCTCCTGGGTAACTAGGATTATAGGCATGAGTTGCTGCACCCAACCTGGTCAATTTGTTTTTTAATTGTTTATTTGACCTTCCAGGTTATCCTCTACCAATAGGGTGGTAAATAGGGAGTTGGCATCGTCTACTTCCTACTGCACTTTGAGGACAGGAGTCTCTGTTCCCAGCACCCTTTGCCCAAGCAGACAATTTGTTTGCCCAGTGAACATCTGTTCGGTCCCCAAAAGCCCCCATGACTTTACCAGCTTGGAAACAAGGGTGGTCCTCCCTGGAGCCCAGACTTCTCACCGATTTGGCCTTTTGGTGAAGTGTGTCTTGGAATGACACCCCACTGCCCCAGTTTTTGATCCTCATATACTGCTGGCAAGTTGATGCAGGCATATGCAGTTTGTCCAGGGGTTCTGGAGACTTCAAAGAGAGGAAAAAAAGCCCAGGTTCTTCAAAATGCCTCTGTGTGCTCCTCCAGCTTGAGGGGGGTGGGAGCTATGGGACACCCATAGCTGTCTGTCCTTCCTCCCTTCCCATCAATTGGGCCACCTGGGCCAGTGCCTGCTGAGAGCTCCAGGTGCCTGGGCCTCTGGCCAGGTTTCTCTCCTCACCAAGGCCCTGCCAATGCTTGCTCAGAGAAATTGCAAAAGAAGGGACTCGGGGTAGATGTGAGGGCACATGTTACAGTCAATACTGCCCGGGACAAAAATCAAGAGAAAGAAGAATCCATCACTCAATGCCTTCTTTTCCCGGAGGCACCTAAGAGTATAAAAGCCATCTTCTCTTCCTCCCCCCATGTCCCTGCCACCTCTCTGGAACTCATGAGGTGAAAAACATTTTGAGAAGATGGAACCAGAGAAGTCCCGTGGTCAGTAGCTAGGACCAAAGGCTCATCTGCTGAGTCTGACATCATTTTGGGGATGTCTCCACCCTGACTCTATGAATGGTCTCAAATCGCCCTTTGCCCATGCTACCACCCTACCTCAGCAAGTCATCCAGGGGCCAGTGCACCTTGGAGGCCACCATTCCTGATTACCGTGGATCGTCCCACTCTCCACAAGCCTCCCCCTCTCTCACCTATCCTCCCCCATCTGGGACTCTCCACTCACTGCCCAGACACTGGTTTCCGCCACCCTTCGACCTCTGTCTAGGAAATCGAGGAAGGGGCTTCCCACACCCATGTGACCCACTGACCTTTGCCACCCCTATGAGGGGTTGTGGGAATCCATTCTGGTGTTTGCTGGGGCTGTGACACTTGGGGTCATCCTGTGTCGAAGGACTGTGAAAGGAAACAGCTATTATGAGGTGACGTATGAAAGTGAAGGGAATCTTGGAGTGGGCTCTACCAGCCTCCTCATCAAACAGATGGGCACTGAGGCCCAGAGAGCAGGAATGAACTGCTCCTGGCTTCCAGCCAAGGAGGATGAGGGAGAAGTTGGTCAGACCCAGTCTCTCCACTACCATCCTATCCTCTCTTCTTCCCCATGCAAAGCCAAAAGGATGTGAAGAGGGTGGAGCCAAAGCTACTAGCCAGAACAGCTGCACTCAGACGCTCTGGGAAAATGCCCCTCTTCCAAAGCCAAATGCCAACGGAGTGTAGGGCCAGCTGTGCGCACTGCCTACTACCTGCTTGCTTTTAATGGCTTGGTAGGTTTTATTTAAATACTTTATCTTGGTTTATTGATTTACCTGAATTTTTATTCTGGAAAATGTGAAATGAACAAAAGTAGAGAGTACAGTATAACAAACTTCCATGGGCCCTTCATCCAGGTTCAGCCAGCTCAGCAACTATCCACCCAGGATGGCTTCTTCTTTTATTTTAAAGCAAATCTAAGAACTCACACCATCTTTATGAGATAAGTATCCCAGTAAGTATATATCCCAGTATTTATATTTTTAAATACTTTGAAAAGGGTTCTTTAAAAAATATTGACTTTTTTTGCTTTTAAAATGGCACATGTGTTTAAAGAACTGAGCCTGTCAGTCAGGCACCGGTGGCTCATGTATCTCAGCTACTTGGGAAGCTGAGATAAGGGAGGATCTTGGTTAGAAGCCAACCTGGGCAAATGGTTTAGGAGAACCCAATCTCCAAAATAACCAGAGCAAAATGGACTGGAGGTGTGGCCCAAAGTGCAAGAGCACCTGCTTTGCAAGTAGGAAGACCTGAGTTCAAACCCCAGTCCCACCGAAGAAGAAAAAAGAAAGCCCTAATTGTCTAAAATCCTTCAGAAACCATTGGTTTAGTTTGGGTTTGAGGTTTGGGGTTCACCTTCCCAACCAATGCTATAGGTAGCTGAAGACTTGGGATCCTGGCTGCTGTACGCATGAGAGCTCCTTCAGTGGTCATAGGACACGTGCCTCCTCCTGCGGAGGATCCTTGCTTAGGGGCATCCTAACATTTTTTTTTTCTTATAGCACTGGGGTTTGAACCCAGGGCCTCATGCTTGCTAGGCAGGCGCTCTACAGCTTGAGCCACTCCACCAGTCCTTTTTTTGTGATGGATTTTTTTCAAGAAAAGATCTTGAGAACTATTTGATCAGGCTAGCTTCAAACCACAATCCTTCTGATCTCTGCCTCCTGAGTAGCTAGGATTACAGGCTCATCCTAGCTAATTGTGCTCTGTGTTCTCTGCAGGATCTCCTGGAGTGTGCATACATGTACACATGCATGAGTCAGGGGCTAAAAGATATTCCATAAAGACCTTTCATTTTCTACTTCACACATATTCATGATGTTAGAATTTGATAAATAGCCACAGATTGCTTTTTATTATTGGTAAAAATAATGACTGTATGTCACCATTTTATAACTAACAATGTATATTATATAGCAACACTAGGGGTTTTTTGCTTACTTTGTTTTTTGTGGTTCAGGGCTTTACACGGGCTAAGCAAGCGATCTACCACTCGAGCTATACCCCCAACCCTTTTGTTTTTATTTTGGTTTTGAGACAGGGTTTTGCCACTCCCTTGGCCAGTGTTGGAGTCCTGCTTCATGGGTAGCTGGGTTTACAGATCCCATAGTGCCTAAAGGCACTATGACTACAAAAAGATAATTCCTTTAAGAGAATGTATTTACAGTAGTCCTCCCTTATCTGTGGTTTTGCTTTCTGTGATTTTAGTTACCCAAGGTCAATGGGGCTTAAAAATATTAAATGGAAAATTTCAGAAGCAAACAATGCTTAAATTTTTAAGTTGCACACCATTCTGAGTACCACGATGAAATCTCACACTGTCCCCCTCTGTTCCTGCCTGGGATGTGAATTAGCTCTTTGCCCATCCCATGCCACCTCACACAATGCCTGCCCACCTGTAGCTTAGTAGCCATCTTGGTCATCAGCTCCACTGTCATTTATCACAGCACTTGTACTCAGGTAACTTAATTTTACTTAATAACAACACCAAAGTGGAAGAGTAGTGGTGCTGGAGATTCAGACATGGCAAAGAGAAGCCAGAAACAGCCTCCTTTTAGCAAAAAGGTGAGAGCTCTTAGACATTCTAAGGAAAGAAAAAACATCACACTCTCAGGTTGCTAAAAAACTCTATGTCAAGAACAACTCTTCCATTTCTGAAATTGTGAAAAAGGAAAAAGAAATTCATGCTAGCTTTATTGTCACACCCTAAGCGGCCAAAGTCATGGCCACAGTGCATGGCTGTGGGCCTTAAACCCGTGGGTGAGAGACATGGACAAATCCACGGCCCCGTGCTACACTGGGAGGCCCTGAATCTGCACGGAGATGTCAGCAAGGGAGCTCCTGAAAAACTGACACCAAGCCATTCACTGCAAGCAAGGACTGGTCACATAGATTCAGGGATAAATTTGCATCTGCTGCTGAAGAAGCTGTTGGCACATTTCAGCAGAATTGAAGGTGATTAAGGACATCTGAACTTTGTCATTGTCCCAACTTCCTTAATCCACATTTATATCACTGTTATTATAGTACACTGTCCTAATGGTTCTGTTATTAGTAATTATTGTTGTTAATCTCTTACTTTGCCCAACTTACAAATTAAACTTTATCACCAGTAAGTATGTGTAGGAGAAACCATAGTTTTTCAGGTATTTACTGGGGGTCTTGGGAATAAGGGTAGATGCTGTAGGTATCACAAAGCAACTTATATCTGAATTAAGTGATTTCGCAGCCATGTAAAGGGCCTCCATGTGAACCTGACTAAGATACTTTGTTCTAGGAAACTTTGGTCAAGCTTCTGTCCCTTATCCTAGGCCCATCTGTGCACGTCGCTATAAAATCCAGCTTCAGCAAAGAACCCTGTTAAGTCAGTTTAGCAACTATCCCATCGATATCTTATCAATCTTGATATCTAATCAGGTCCCTCATCCTCTGCCCCCCCTCCCTCCTCCAAGTGATGTTGATCACCCTGGCCTAGCCTCAGCAAGAATCTCGTTAGGTAAGTTTGGCAAGAACCCCCTTTCCCCAGGATGTTGCTCAGAGCTCTTCCTTCCACTGACTCCCGCCCTGCTCCTCGGCTATCATCTCCCATCTGCTCATGCTATGTTCTAAAATGACCCAACCTCTCCTCCATTACAGTGGTCCCTGTACCAACACCATAGATGGTCCCAAACACAGTTATTCCTGAAATTTTTTTTTTTTCAGTATAGAGGCTTCAACTCAGGTCCTCATGCTTGCTAGGCAGGTGTTCTACCACTTGAGCCACACCTCCAGCCCTTTTTTGTGTTGGTTATTTTTGAGATAGGGTGTCTCAAACTATTTGCCTGGGGCTGGCTTCGAACTGCCATCCTCCTGCTCTCTGTCTTCTGAGTACCTAGGATTACAGGCATGAGTCACTGGCGCCCAGCTTGGAATATTTTTTTTCTTTAGCACACCTACTCTGGTCTGGACTGGTGTGCCTTACCAGAAAGAAAAACAAAAGCCAAGATAAAATAACTTGGATATGTGAAACACATAAGCCATGGCTGAGCAGCTATCATGGGACAGCTTAAATAGGAAGATGTTTGGAGGCTGGGGCCCCACAGACGCAACAGCTCCTCTCTTTTGCCAACATCCCTCAGCCCAGCCCTCATTCTGCAACTCTTCTGGCTTCTTACTTATATTGGAGAGTCAGCCAGTTTCATGAGAAAGGATTTCAGAAGCTTCAAGATCAGAAATGTCTATAGTAATATTTACAATGAGAAACAATGTCTTTGTATACGTCACATCACCATTCATTCGAAATATTAAACATTCTAAAAGGCTGTCTGAAACCTCACAGACAAATGGGCCATAATTAACCTGACCCTATCATCTACCGCTGAATGTTTAGGCTTTTTGAATTTTTCTGCTGTTATCAATGAGGCCTCAAATTGTGATGTGTTCTGATGCTGGCTTTGTGTGTGTGCCCGCGCATGCAGGTACAAGCACCTTGGGGGAAATGCCAGTGAAACACAGTGACTAGCATAAAGTCATGAGTTCATGTGCAATTTAAATTTTTCTTCCTCTTTTTCTGCACCTTTCAACCTTTAACAATTGCCATGAGTGCCTTTCATAATTGAGATTGTTTTTAAAAAAATTTTGAACAATGCATAACAGCTCTACCCAGGCGCCTGCGTTCTCCAGTTAGCTGATTTCTCCTGGCTGGCTGCTGGAGGATCCGGGGACCAGTCGCCAGAGGAGCAGATTAAGAATCCGGATACCTGATTCCAAATTGTCGCATCGTTTACCCACAGACCCTCATGCAGTCTGACTAACCCCACAGTCCTTTGTAAGGACGAGGACCCTTAAGGACCTGCCATCAAAGGGAGCACTGGCAGCGGGTGGCACTCTCCACCGCAGAACGACAGTCCGCAGCCCGCCGCGATCCCTAGACACCCGCGGCGCGCAGCCGTCGGGAAGGCAGCAGGCCCGCGTGCGCTCGCGCCTCAGAGTCCCAGACGCGCACGGGGACGACCAGGCAGACCACGCGCTTGCCTCTCACCGTGTCGACCCTCCCGCCCTTTTTTTTTTAATTCGTCTCCACGCTCTGCACCGACGGCCTCAGAACCCCAAAGCAAACGGACACGCACAGTAGCAACCGTAACACAGGCCCCGGGGACGGAAGCGACACCACTGAGCAGCCTCGGGCACCTCGAGATAACCAGGGACGCTGCAGAAGCAGCGCGAGGTGCGGGTGCAGTGCGCAGCTGTCTGTCCTCAGCTGGTGTCGCGCCTCCCGCGGTTCCCACTCCTCCCGCCAGCCTACCTGTCCTGACACCAAGTGGGCGGGGAGCGCTCTGGGTTTATTTGGAAAAAGAACCTCTTTGCGCTCCAATCCACATCGGATCGACAGATCGCGGAGCCCGTGGGGCTTGTCCCGGCTTTGTGCCTCGAGATCGCGACTTCTTTCTTATCCTCGTGGGCAACACACAGTACCCCACCCCCCTGTCCCCGCGATGTACCTGGCTGAGCCGGGACGGCGCGCGGACTTCGGCCGCAGGATCCTGCGGAGGAACCGCCAGAACCGCGGCCGGGCGGCGTCGCACGCGACACTCAGCCCCTCACGCATGGTCCTGGAGTGGCGCAGCTGTTGCGTCCCCTGCCCCGCTGTGGTGGCCCCTTTATCGGCAAAGGACCCTGCAGCCCCCGCCCCCGCCCCCGGGCGGGGCGAGCGGGCGTGGGGGGGCGGACGTTGGGATCGCTTCCAGCGCTGGGAGTCCCCGCCGGCGGCCGTCTCTACGCAGTGGGCGTCCCCGCCCCGGCCTGACTTTCCTCGGGGTGACCCCGCCCCACCACCCCCAAACCAGTGGCCACAAGGAGCGCCCGCAGCGAGGTGTGGATGTCACCGGTTGTCCTTGGGTGGGGGTGGGGGAGGATGTTTGGCCTCGGATTTGTTTATCCGGGATAAGAACCAACAAAAAATCTCCTATTGCTCCCGGTGCTGTTCAGTCTACATGGGGATCTTTCCCGTCTGTTATTTCTTTACTAATCCGGGCAAGAAGATAGTTCTAGACTGCGAGGATGAAGTTGAAAGTCCAGAGAGGTTAAGGATCTATCTCAAGGCCACACGGTAGCACCAGAGCCACCAGAGCCACCTCAGAGCCTCATTAGGGCTGCCCCCAGAACGTTACATCTTTTCTCCATGTCCTGTGTGATTCCAGAAAGGAAACCAAAGAAAGCGCAAGGCCGAGGATGCATGATTTCTGGTGGGAAGCCCAGGGGAGCTGGTTGGAACAGAAGTGCCATCGGGTCCCTTGCAAGGCAGACTCCTGGTCCTTGCTACTGGGAGGCCAGGGCGGGGTACTTTGTTCTATCTGCAAATTGCTCCTTAAGGTGCAAGGTAACTGATAGGATCCTGGGGTAGAGCGGCAGCCCTTGGGGACGCTTCTGGCCATATTTCAGCATATTAAACGGAAACCTAAATCACAGTGGAAGGAAGGAGTGCACGTATTTATTGTGAGCAGCCTCCAACCCAGAGAGCAACACTCAGCTCAACTTTGTTCTGAATTCCATATTCTTCCTTTTGTGTCTAAGACACCCACGCACGTACCACATTCACTTCTGATCACTACATATAGAATGATCAGTCACAGAGACTCAGGCCCTCGGGCATAGTGGGTCTGCATAGATTTGAAAATTACGTTTTAAAATAAAAAGAAATGAATTGGCTCCCATTGCTCTCAGACTAAAATCCCCTTTTATAGGCAGTTTCCTCTTTCAGTAATATCCTTCCTGATTCCTTCATGGGTGGTGGCAGTGCAGCTGGGCTGGAAGAGTAAGCTCTCTTTCAAACACCTCCCCTCCCCATTCTACAGCCAGTCAGGCACCTTCCAGGTCTCCCCAGCTCTGCCTTGCCCCACCCCTCACCAGAGGCACCTCCTTCTTCAAGACTGTCCCTGTAACCAGTGAGGAAGTCATTGTTTGTCCCTTTGCTCCAGGACAGCAGGAACTGGGTGTCTTTTCTCTGTTCTTTCACAGCCCAGCACAAGGTAGGCCCATAGAGTGTGGATATGGACTTGCTTTAAATCTCAGCTCCACCACTTTCTAGATAATTGGCCTTGAGTAGATTATCGAAGCTTATAAAACAAGGGTTACAGTTCCTGCCTCATAATGGACACAGTACACAGGACACTATAAATGTTATCTGTCATTGAATATACAATCAATAACTGACTCAGACAATTAATTGATAAACAGAAGGGCTTCCTTGACATCTTAACTCTCATTACAGTGACAAGTTAGCACACCAAGGTGTATAACTGCTAAGAAACAGATAACCTAAGCTGGGCACCTGTGGCTCATGCCTGTAATCCTTGCTACTCAGGAGGCAGCAATCAGGAGAATCATGGTTTGAAGCCAGCTTGGGAAAATAGTTCATGAGAACCTGTTTCAAAAATACCAACACATAAAAGGGCTGGCAGAGTGGCTCAAGTGGTAGCACCTGCCTAGCAAGCATGAGGCCCTGAGTTCAAACCCCAGTACCACGAAAAAAGAAAATCAAGTTGACTGGTATGCCTCACATCCACTGTGCCTTAGGGCTTTGCCTTGGAGTCTGATCTCAGGTCTCCCAAATGGTTCAAAGACATAAGTAGGTCTTTGGGAATAAGTGGAATGGCATTGGAAGATGTGGAGATAAGGGCTGAAGGTCAAGGGCACACTAAGAGATCTGAAGGAGAGGGCTTCAGGGTTGTCTCAAATGACAGGGATGGGCAGGGGCTGGATAAGTCCAGGAAGCAGTGGTTGTGTACAGGTACTAAGAAGCTGAGGAAAGATGGGCTAGGCATGTGGGAGGTGTACTGTGTCTGGGTTGGTGATCATGCAGAACCCTGTTGTCCAGTCTCAGTGTGGTGATGGGCAATGGGCAGCCACTGCAGACTCTAGAGCACGAGCATGATTTGCTAGAAGCCAAGTTGGAGGGAGAGAGGTCAGAACCAAGGTGGAAGCTGGAGTTAGGAGGCCAGCAACAGGGGGCCACAGTGATGAGATGAAGAGAAGGAAGGGAAGAAGTCTCTGTAAGCCTGCAGCCTTTTGAGATGGAAATGCCAGCGGAATCCAGAGGCCACCAGACTATGTGCTCTCACCCCTAAGCCACCACTGATCTGGCTCTTTTCAAAAGTTCTCCCCTCTGATTCACCCCGCACACCACCCTGTGTTCCAGGCCAAGAGTTTTGACCTTGCCTTTCCTAGCCTAGCCCCCTGCCTGCCCCACCTGGGCACATCAGGTCTGCTCCTGCACTGTCTTTCTCCCTCGTCCTCCTTCCTGAGTGCCTCTTCACCTTCAACCCACTATTTACACTCCACAGAGCCCACCTCCCTCCTGTGAAGCCATTGGAAGGGACTCTGCTTACTGCTACCCTGTCCCAACCTAGCTGTCAACAATAAACACAATAATGACAATGATAGCTGCTGCTATGTCTGGAGTATTTGCTCTGCACCTGGAAATGTGCTAAGTGATTTGCATGTGAAATCTTTCATTCTCCAAGAGACTCCCTATGGGTGAGAAAATTGAGACTTGGAGGCTAAAGGACTTCCAAAAGCCACATGGCTATGAAGTGGCAAAGCCAGTTGCCTCTCCTCAAGTTCCTGGGCTGCTTTCCACTGCCTGGCACTGCTAGACTACCTGGGCTTGTCACACCTGCCGTCTTCAGGGGGCGTCCTGACTACAGTAGTCCTGGGAAGGCTCCTCTGGGCAGCTGCCAGGTGGCCCTGGGGCTTTGATTTGATTAGCTGTGTCATGCCACTGCCGATGGACTTGTCTTTCCACTTGAGCAAGCCTCAAGCCCCAGGACAAGCTAAGAGACTCTTCAAGCATCCTCCAGAAGCCTGTCCATGGGCCGGCTGGAGGACTGAGTCTCTCAGTTCTATGGCTTGCTGATGGAAGAGGACCAGATGAACACACACTTTGGATTCAAATTTCTGTACTTAGTAGTCATATGACTCAGTGATTCCCTTTGCAGAGCCCCTATTGTCTCATCCGTAGAATGAGACAATACGAATTTCCCATAGCCACGTGGAGGTTAGGCGAAATGCTGAGTATGCATGCCCTAACGAATGGCGACAGATCCTACTGTTTACCAACTGCCTGCTGTGTGACACGCTTCAGGCTGCTTTACATTGACGTCTTATTTCATGTTCAGCCTGCTATGAGGGGGTCCTTACACTGCAGATGAGAACATCTGAGGCTCAGGGAGGTTAACTTGCCTAAAGTTACACAGTGGCTGAGAAACGGCACTGGCCCGGGTAGTTTGTCTGCATCTGGACACCTTCAGCAGGCCGATATTCAAGTATCCAACAACCAGTGAGGCGCACACACTACTGAATCAGAACAGACGCCCGGTTCTGACCACTAAGCACTCCCGCCTCCATCCTCACATATTTGTCCCGAATTCTTCCTCTAGAAGTTCCAAGCTCCCTCAGAGCCACCTCTGTGCCTAGTAAACAGTGACTCTGACCTCCCTCTGTACACCATACCTCAGCTAGGAGACCCAGAGCAAAGAGGACTTCTGAGTCAGGAGTGGGGGATGGAAGTCAGGAGGAGATGCGTGGGAGGTAGCAGCAGGGAACACTTGCTTACCTGGAGATGGCACCCATAGCTTTCCCCACATTGTTGTTGATGTCCTTTTCCTCAGTCAAGTTATACTGGTGGGATCTGGCCTTGAACAGAAACTTCCAGGGACAGGCCATCTCTGTGACTTTGCAAGCAGGTGACTTATCTGGACTTCAGCTCCAATGTTCTTCACTGTAGGGCTGAGGAAGAGGAGGGAGTGTGAGACAAAGCTGAAGAAAGGGCTTCAGAACGGAGCCTTCCCAGTGTGACCAGTTCACTGAAGAATCGAGATGGAGTGAAGATAAGACTTGAACAGCTACCTTGCCCATGTTTTTATGCTGCGTTCTTATTTGATGTTGGCTTTGGATCTCTGTGGACATTGGCTTCACTTCCATAAAGCTATATAACAATCTGAAGGAATAACATTGGATCCCCAGCATGGCCCTTGCCAAGGACAAACTGTATGGTCCCAAGGCTCCTCCGTGGCACCACTGGTCCCTAACCTGGGCAGAGCTCCATCCCTGGCCTCGGGGCAAGATGAACAGCAGACGTAAAAACTTGCCTGATCCAGCAAAGACAAGATCCAGTGTCTGTCATTAGCATCTGTCACACTATACCTATGACTAGGGAAAGAAGTCAAGTGGTAGTTGCCTTTCGTTTATTTTGGGTTTGTTCATCCTAAGTCAGGAAGAGCATGTGCTCCAATTTTATTATTCAAGGGGGAAATAACTATTTTGTGAAGAATGCAATTGACTCTCGCAATCTTCTTTTTAAAAGATAAGAACTAGCTGGGTGTGGTAGTGCGTGTCTGTAATACCAGTTACTCTAGAGATGGAGGTAGACCATGCCAGTTCAAGGCCAGTCTAGGCAAAGTTACCTCAAAACAACAAAATACAAAACAAAAAGGGCTGGAAGCTGGGCTCAAGTCATAGAGAACTTGCCCAGCATCCGGGAGGCTCTAGTTCACCGCCCCCAGTACTGCCAAAACTAAACAAACAAAGAAAAACAAAGATAAGATAGAAAACAGGGCTTCCCCCGCAGCCAACTTCACTGAGAATACTTTCTGGGAGGCAGTGTGGCATGGGGTTCACTCAGGATCTTAAAGACTCACCGACCTGGGTTCTAATCTTTGCTCTACCAGTTACTTGACCTGCTCAAGTTGTTCCACTGAAACTCATTTTGCCCACAAAACAGGCTTAATAATGTGTATCTTATCAGAACTGGGTGTAAGGATTTTATGCAAAATAAAAATTCTTAGCTGATACCCTGTACACACACACACACTGAATTTTCCAGAAAACTTTTCCTTCCAATGAATTAATCGCAGCAAATATTTGCAGAAAAGAGATCTGAGCATGATGTCCTGTTCAAGTAGCCGAACCCAATGTGCTAATTCCTCACCTAGACTCTAACAGCGTCTGTGTGCTGGTAGAAAATTCCCAGTTTTCTGGATCTTCCTAAACAGGAAGATGTGACTCCCCTCTCATACCAGCAGCTTCCCCAGGGACAACTCACCTCAAGCTGGTTGTGCTGCTCTACAGTACAAGCAGAAGACGTGGGAGGAAGACCTGGGCCTCAGGCAATTGAAGGGCATCTATTACTGTCTGGTGCCAGCACTCAGGTGGCTGAGAAGTCTCAGACCAACGATGCTGAGTCCTCTGGGACTAGAGCCTCAGTCTTCCACCCACTGCAAAGGTTGTGATAACATGAGTGGCCACCAAGTATTTATAACAACTCTGTGCCATCCAGAGCCGTTTTGCATAAGTCTCATATTTATTTTCAAGGGAGTGTCCCAGTTGGTGTACAGTTAGCTAATTTATGACCACACTTCTGGCACTCCATGTGATGCATCCTCAGTAAAGCCACCTCTTCCTGGTCCCCAGTCCAGCTCATCAGCAGGATGGCCCCACTGATACAGGCGTCACCAGGGAGTGAGACTGTTTGGCTAAGTCACACTGCCTGACTTTCAGCATCAGGGCATTTTTCTTCCGAAGGGAACACTTTGGTTAATTCCTGTCTGTCCTCTCCAGTTTGCAGCAGGAGTTCAGGAAGCTAGGGAATGGTGACAGTATGATGCCAATATTCCAACACCCCAAATACTCAGCTTGAGGTTTTGGAAAGGAAGGCCTTTGGCACAGAGAGGCTTTTTAGATGTCAGTCTTACTAATGTCTCCTCTTTAGCACTAAGTGAGCTTGGGCAGAAAGGCAGTTAGATTGTGTTCTACAGTGAGGAAATTCTTTTTTTCAAAGTGAAAATTGTAATTTCTTTTATGGAAGATTATAATTTCTTAGAATGTTTCAAATACAGCATTTCTAAATGGAATGAATTTTTCCCTTATGAGAATAAAATAAGCTGGGTGTGGTTGTCCACACTGTACTCTCAGCTCAGGAGGCTGAGGCAGGAGGATCGTGAGTTTGAAACCAGCTTGGGCCACCTAGTGATACCCTGTCTCGAACAAAGAAAGAAATGAAAAGTAAAATAGCTACCATATTTGGGGGGAAAGTGGAAAACGGGGAAAAATTCATCCTGGATCTCACCATCCTAACACACCCCCACCATCATCCTTCCTGTGTCTCCCAGATTCAATTCAGAGTGAATCATTGAATTTAAGACAGACAAACTAAGAGTCACGAAAAAGACACGTAGAGCCCGGCACCGGGGCTCGCACCTATAATCCTGGTTACTCAGGAGGCAGAGATCAGGAGGATCGAGAGTTCAAGGTTCTGTGCTACAAAGGGAGACTCTATTTCAAAAATCTAAAAAAAAAAGAAAGAAAAAGAGCAGCCTGGAATGAGTTTCAGTGTTCCAAAGTCACAAAGCCATTCTCATTTCAGATTTCAGCCAGGTGGGTCTGGGAAAACAGACTGAGGGGTGACTCATAGCCCCTGTCTCAGGGAGTGCAAAGCCTAGAAAATGGAACAATGTTTACAGTGCAGGGATGCCTGCAATCCCAGAGGATAGTAAGGTGCTGGCGTAGCTGGATCTGCACTGGCCAGGGAAGGTACCCCAGACTGGGTTTTGAGGGATGATTAGGGGTTTGCTGCACTATAACCCCTAACCATGGTTACTGCTTACACATATTCTGCCTATACCTGCAACAAATACGTGCACCAAGCCCAAACCCCTTGAGGTAAATAGTCTATCTTGGCAATTGTGGAATCCACTAGAATCCCATCTACTTGACATCAGAATACCTGACTGAATTTGCTTCAGAAAATGCAATTATTCTGTTAGTTCATCTGTCAAATGTGTGACAGAGGGGTTTTGACAAGGACTCTGTCAAAAGCAGTCCTTGGGGAGTCTCTATGTCGTCATCCTTTTTCTTTTTTTGGTGGCACCAAGGTTCTGAACTCAGGGCCTCACACTTGCTGAGCAGGCACTCTACTGCTTGAGCCTCACTCCCAACTCTTTTTCGCTTAGTTATTCTTCAGATAGAGTCTTACGTTTTGCCTGGGGCCAGCCTCTGACCATGCCACTCCTATTCACACCCCCTACGCACATTGTTAGGACCACAGGCACACGCCGCCATGCCAGCTTATTGGCTGGGATGAAATCTCACCAACTTTTTCCCTGGGCTGGCCTTGAACCACATCCTCCTGCTCTTTGCCTGCTGAGCAACAGCGATTATAGCCACCATGCCCACTGCCCATGTCCTCATCTTGCTGTCAAACTCCCTCAGCAAAGAGCCTTGCTCACATGGCACTCTACCACCTGAACTGTGTGGCACTAATCACTGCCTGGCTGCTGTGGGTCCACTGCCTTCTTCGATTCTTCACCTTCTGGACAGTCGTGTAAACACGGTGCCTGGAGTCTCAGGTGAATCTGTTGTGTTAGCTGAATGAATGAATGGTGACTGGGATGACGAATATTGACTGAACGTCCCAGCCACCACATTACCTCAGGCACTACTCAAATCTGGTGCCCACTAACTGTGGAAATCTGGGTGAGTGGCAGGGTTTGAGTCAGGGATGACTGTCTCACTGAAGCACCAGGGTTGGAGGACATGACTGGAATTAGCCTGACAACTCCTGGATTCTAGGAACAGTTCTAATTATTGACTGGCTATGTAACCTCAAGAAAGCTCCCTCTCCTCTCTGGGCTCTATTTTTCACATGGCAGAGTACTGATGATGAAAGTGAGTAGAGGAGATAGGACTTATTGAGCAAAAAGGCAGCCAAACAAAAAATTTTAACCCATGCTCTGTAGGTCAGAGAATAACCATTTACCTTCAGCCAGGAGAAAGTGGGTGACAGGGCCACTTTCCAAAGTAGCCTTCCTCAGATGGTCAGCAAACTATATACCCTTGTTCTTAAATTCTTCTCTGTCACTAAATTAAGTTTTTATTGAAATAAAATTTATGTAACATAAAATTCACCATTTTAAAGCATGTAATTCAGTGACATTTGACATATAGTTGTCCATTGGTGTGCGTGGAGATTGGTCCCAGGACCTCTGCAGACATCAAAATCCCAGGATGCTCACAGCTTATGTAAAATGCCATGGTGTTTGCTTAGGTTATTCACTCATCCTCCCTGTGCTTTAAATTGCTAGATTACATATCATATGCAGTGCTGTACAATGCTATCTAAGTAGCTGTTATACTATATTGTTAAGGAATAATGACAAGAAAAAGGTCTGTACATGTCCGGTACAAATAAGAGTTAAAAAAAAACTGGGGGTTGAATACATGGATGCAGAAGGAGGGCTGGCTGTATTTGAAATGTGTAAACACTACCACTATTCCAATATTTTCCTTATTGACTAGGAAGAGGAAGGGAGTAAAAACAGCAATAAAGATTATGATGCACAGAGAGGTTGAGACTCACCACAGTCACACAGCAGACAGCCTCAGAGCCGGGGCTCCTGGTTCCCACAGCAGAGCTCTCACTGCAGGGTCCAGGGCTAGCCCCATGGTATAGGTTGTTACTGGTTTTTCTCTCCAGATCTCCTGCAGTTTCCTAGCTGTGCAGGAAACCTTGGCCCTGTTCACCCAGCAGACGGCATTCCTGGGCCCCTTCTGATGATGGATGTGGCAGGTGAAGTCTGCTGGGGAGAAATCAAAGGTACCTTGAAAGGCAGATGGGGACAAGTGGGCCCTTTGGGAGGTGGTGATGGAGGCTCTAAGATTGCTGTGGG